ATCCACAAAGATATGTCGTATCTTCATATATACCTTAGTTCTCCTATAAAAGTAGACAAAGCTGCCATTACGAAAACCAATCAAAACCTACGTGAAAGCTGGCGTTTTATTCTTCTTGTGATTGATCTCAAGGTACATAACGCAATGGAAATGACATCTGGATCGTTAGGCAATGGGATCTCAGAAGCGATGGGACAAAACCGCGGGAACATAAAACGTTGCCTCGAGAAGTACATTGAGAATGGCAGAAGGGTGATGAAATTGAACGAGTTGATGGATGAGATGGAGATTGTTATCAATGATGTAACACAACGAAGGCGAGTCATGGATGGCGATCTTGGCAAGATCTTGTGCTTCACTCAGGTCTTAAACCATACTCTTTTGATTTTTCAATCTCTTTTTTTTGGGTGGAAAATCATATGATCAAATCTAACATTTCAAGAAGCTTTCTTCATTTATAAAAGGTCATAAAATTTTGTTAAAAAAAAAAGAGGTCTTAAATTGAAAATATACTATTGATCTTATATTTTCAGGGCATTATATTGCAGATCATTTTAAACATTTTTTTCAAATAATGATTTAAGTTTTTTTAAATTATATTAAATACTAAGGTTTTTGGATTTCTATTTCAAAATTTGTTGATAGTAGATAGCATAGTGTCTAATTGATTAATATTTTCTTTTATAAATAATTATCCAGGCTTTGCGTAGATATAATTTTATTTAACTGTTGTAATAACATCAAATTATGTTTTAAACATCAAAATATAGTATTGGTAAAAAGCGACATCTCATGAATATCACTTTTTCTTGATCAATAGAAAGAAAAACAATAACTCATGATGAAAAATAAATATACTAAAATGTACAAGATTAGAAATGATTGAAAACCATGCCATAAGATTGTATAATAGACAATTGTATGCCAAAACTCAAACTTATTTTGTTTAACCATTATTTGGAGGGAAAGCTATGTTATAGTTTTTTGCTCTTCATTGTTGTACTCATTATATATAGAGATATGCATGAGATTTCTAATGTTCATTGGTTTGATCAAAAAAAGTATGGTGACCTAAATATAGCATTACAAATGTGAATGAATCTGCAGGAAGCAGTGGTAATTCCTCCAAATGTAGCATTTGCGGTAAGAGGAAACCCGGGAATATGGCAATACATGAAAGTTAACTCTTCCAATCTTTCCGTGGAAGCTCTATCGAGCACACAATATTTCAAACTCAAAGAGCTTCTCTTTGACGAGAATTGGTCTCTCCTCTTTTTCTTAACCAAATTATATTTTCCTTTTCTTGCTCTAATTAGAAGTTTGTAAACAGGGCAAACGATGAAAATGCATTGGAGGTTGATTTTGGAGCGTTGGATTTCACTCTGCCTTGGCTTTCATTGCCATCTTCCATAGGAAACGGCCTCAGTTTTGTGTCCTCAAAGCTCGGAAGCCGTTTAAACGATAACCCGCAGTCTCTCGTGGACTACTTGTTGTCACTTGAGCATCAAGGAGAGGTGAATTTTATCCCCATCAAATCCATTTCTTCATTGATTTTTGTTTCCTTGTGTAAATGACGTTTTCGCATTTGTGTTTACATATGCAAAGAATTAAGAAAACAAAAACTTAGATTTCAGTTTAAATCAATATAGATATCTAAAATACCAAAAATTCTAAATTTTCATTTAAAACAATAAAATAAAGTTGTGAAGTAGTACTGATTCATATACGACCGTCTTTTTTTTTTTTTTTGTCAACCAAACATTTATTTTCGTTTTCTAATAATATTATTACTTAAAACTTAAATTTGTGAAACTAAATAAGTTTGTAAGAAATTGTAGCCTAAATATGTTTATGTCAATGTTGTTATATAATTTTCAGAAGCTTATGACGAATGAGACTCTAAACACGGCTAGAAAGCTTGAGATGAGTTTGATTTTGGCTGATGTTTTCCTATCGGAGCTACCTAAGGACACACCTTTCCAAGCCTTTGAACTCAGGTTAAACCTTTAACACAAATTTACATTGCTAGCCGATCGGTTGTTTAACGGGTTTAATTTTGAGTTAAAAACCGAAAACAGGTTTAAGGAATGGGGTTTTGAGAAAGGATGGGGAGAAAGCGCAGGGAGAGTTAAGGAGACAATGAGAATCTTGTCGGAGATTCTTGAAGCCCCTGATCCTCACAACATTGATCGATTCCTCGCTAAGATTCCTAGAATATTTAACGTTGTCATCTTCTCGATTCACGGCTACTTTGGTCAAACCGATGTTCTTGGTTTGCCTGATACTGGCGGTCAGGTTGTTTACATTCTTGACCAAGTTAAGGCCCTTGAAGATGAATTGCTTCATAGAATCAACTCTCAAGGCCTTAATTTCAAACCTCAGATTCTTGTTGTAAGTTCTCTTCGAACTACTTGTCTTTCTATTTAAATTGAGTCTTGATTATGAATATTTTTTTTTTCAAATTTTGTAGTACTTTTTAAACTAGAACTTGTTATGTGGTATTTTATGGCTAATGTGATATTGATGTGTTGACAATTTGATTTTAGGTAACACGATTAATCCCAGACGCTAAAAACACTAAATGCAACCAAGAATTGGAACCTATTTTCGGTACCAAACATTCGAATATTCTTCGAATTCCATTTGTAACAGAGAATGGGATTTTACGTCGTTGGGTTTCCCGCTTTGATATCTATCCCTACCTAGAAAGATTCACTAAGGTAAAATCATACAAGAATGGTAGAATATAATTTATTTTTTTCACCTATTATTTTTTTTTTTTTGCTCTAGAAATTTCATATTGAAACTGTAAATATTATGAGTAGGATGCAACAACAAAAATATTGGATATTTTGGAAGGAAAACCTGACCTAATCATCGGAAATTATACGGATGGAAACTTAGTGGCATCACTCATGGCTAATAAGCTTGGAATTACTCAGGTTTCTTACATTTTTAATTTGTGAATTTTAGACCAATGATTTACTCATGTCACAACAAACTAATTGAAATGAAAAACATTATATAAAAATCCAGGCAACTATTGCACATGCCTTGGAGAAGACTAAATATGAAGACTCCGATATCAAATGGAAAGAGTTTGATCCTAAATATCATTTCTCATCTCAATTTACGGCAGACTTAATCTCTATGAACTCTGCTGATTTCATCATAGCAAGCACTTATCAAGAGATTGCTGGAAGGTAATTAATTTCATTAAGACAATGCATTAATGAAAAAATCGAGCCGGTTTAACATTATCCGGTTTGGTTGAATTTTGTTAGCAAAGAGAGGGCGGGACAATACGAGAGCCACATGAGCTTCACACTCCCGGGCCTATACAGAGTTGTCTCCGGCATTAATGTCTTTGATCCGAGGTTCAACATCGCAGCTCCTGGTGCGGATGATACTATCTACTTCCCTTTTACCGCACAAGACCGGAGATTCACCAAGTTTTATCCTTCCATTGAAGAACTCTTGTTTAGCCAAAATGAGAATGATGAACACATGTACGTCTCTATTCCCTCTTTTTACTTTTCTTAGTCATAAAACTATAGGGTTTCAAGAAGTGGTTAATCGCTGATTTTCGTTGATTGTTACTTTTAGAAACTATTTTTCCAAATTGTAAACACACTCACACCAAGCGTTAGTTTTTAACCGCTTTTTTCTTGTGAAAATAGTGGTTATTTGGTGGATAAGAAGAAACCGATCATCTTCTCAATGGCAAGGCTTGATGTTGTAAAGAACTTAACGGGATTAACTGAGTGGTATGCTAAGAACAAGAGGCTGCGAGACTTGGTGAACCTCGTGATCGTAGGAGGATTCTTCGACCCTTCCAAGTCTAAAGACAGGGAAGAGATCTCAGAGATCAAGAAGATGCATTCTCTGATTGAGAAATACCAACTCAAGGGTCAATTTAGATGGATCGCAGCTCAAACTGATCGAACCAGAAACGCTGAACTTTACCGATGTATTGCAGATACAAGAGGTGCTTTTGTGCAGCCTGCACATTATGAAGCCTTTGGTCTTACTGTCATTGAAGCAATGAGCTGTGGTTTGGTCACATTCGCCACGAACCAAGGCGGTCCTGCTGAGATTATTGTGGATGGTGTCTCTGGATTCCACATTGACCCGAGCAATGGAGAAGAATCAAGTGATAAGATTGCGGATTTCTTTGAGAAATCCGGTACCGATCTTGATTATTGGAATATGTTTTCGACTGAAGGGCTGCAACGCATAAACGAATGGTATATATCCTCAAAGCATCACAAGAAACTGATCTAAAGATAGTTTTAATTTAATAAAGATAGTTTCAATTTAATGATCATATATGTGCAGCTATACATGGAAGATATATGCAAACAAAGTGATAAACATGGGGAGTACATATAGCTACTGGAGATATTTGAACAAAGATCAGAAACTTGCTAAGCAAAGATATATCCATTCCTTCTACAATCTTCAATACCGAAATTTGGTAAAATTATTAGTCTTTTTTTGTTTCACTTGTGTGAATCAAAACATATATAAATGCTTTCTTTAACCATATTTTTGTTTAAAACAGGTGAAAAATATACAAATATTGAGTGATATTCCTCAGCCACCACCTCCTCCTCCAAAGCCTTTGGTGAAACCATCAGCATCAAAAGGGTATGTTAATTTATTTAGAATTACTACAGATTATATAAGAGTATATATTCATGTTATAATTTTGTTATTTTCTTTATATTCTCACAGCTCGAGGCGAACACAGTCGCGATTGAGTTTCAGGTTGTTTGGTGCTTAAGCTCTCTTTTGAAGGAGAGCTAATGTCAGAATTGCGGAAATATCTAAACCTTGTTGATGTTTCAGTTCTTATATTTATACGTATTGTAGTTTCATATATGTAAATGTTCAAGTTGTGTGATTACAAGTATAATAAAGGGAAAAAGAAACAAAATGTATTTGATTTTTACCATTGATTCTTAGTGAGTGTTATGTGTGATTACTGATTTAACATGTTGAAGTTGAAGGATTTGTTACCTTGAAGCTCGAGAAAGCTCGGATTCAAGTATTATGGAACCAAACACGAGGATCAACCGAGAAGAGATTTAACATTTAGTTGTTGCAAACTTGCAATAGTACCTCTTATGAAGCACTCCTGATTAACATAAATGTCAGAGAAGATGCACCATACCAAAAACTAGTTAGAACAAGCAAAACCGTGATTTGAAGATTTAAGCATCTTTTTCAGGTTTGAGTCAAAATTGAATCCAAAAGGATAATCGATAAAACTTAGATGGCTTGGCTATCTGGGACAACATCTTCATCATCGGGTTGTGATTGAGAAGCTGTCAGTTTCGCCGCCTTGTAACTTTTTGAGCTTCTTAGGATATCTTGCAGGCTCCCCAATAACCTGTTCACAAGACGAGCAAAAAAGAGTTTATGACAGTAGTCTGTGCAGCTTGATGGACAATAATAATACCCTTAACCGGTCACTTACCTATTTGTTCCTCCAGCCAGATTGTTTCCTGTTGAAACCAAGAATCGAAATTAGCATGTCTGGTAGAGAGAACGTGTGATCAAAGTTACATTCGGATCGATAAAATACCTTGCTTCCTAGGCATAGAAGAAGTCACAGCACTATCACTATCATCGTCTGATGAACTATCTGATGGTGTTTTAGTGGAGTCATTCAAAGTCGTCTTAGATTCATCCTCCTCAGCATCCTTGAAGAAATTCGTCTTACTCTTGTACGCTGTGACTGAGTTAGAGCTTTTCTTCACAGCTTCCTTCTTGTTGTTGACATTCATCTTACTCTTGTTCACTGTAACCGGGTTAGAGCTTTTCTTCACAGCTACCTTTTTGTTGTTGACTACGCCTTTCATGGATGCATCAGAATGATCAACCTTTGATCCACTGCGATCAATCTTAGCCTTTGACTGCAATTGACTAGTACCAGAACTAGATGGTTGAACTCTACCTTTTGTCTCTTTCAGTTTCACTGAACCATCAATGGAACCACCAGGATGCAAATCAAGGCTTTTCTTCTCCTTTTTAGATTTAGCTCCACCAGTCACTTGATCTTGCTTGTTAACACCACCAACAATATCGTCCTTTTGGCTAGAACCAAAATTGTCTCCCATATCAGTGTTCTCTTTCAGAACTTGCATGGAACAGTTAATATCCTCAGTATTATTGGTGACCTCAGTAATCTTTTTCAAAGGGGAAGCATTGCTCTCAGTATTTTTCTTAGCTGGCGTGAATGATGCATCAGTGTCTTTTGGGTTGTTGATGGGAGAAGCCTCTTCTTGAGCAACATTGTTTCCCTCAACTGACAATACTTTGGCCTCCTCCACAATGTTCAAAGAGTCTTTCTTCTTTGATCTCTTGCTTGACTTCTTCTCACTTTTTTCCAGATTTTCCTCAGCTTCTTTCTTTTGCTGCAAAGAATCTACTACCTGGGCCTCCTCCACAATGTTCAAAGAGTCCTTCTTCTTCGATCTCTTGCTTGATTTCTTCCCACTTTTCTCTATATTCTCCTCAGCTTCGTTCCTTTGCTGCAAAGAATCTAATACATTTCTGATAACACTATCATGCCCTTCTCCATCTACAACTTTGATAGGTTCAACATTCTGTGCACCAGAATCTACCGGAGTATCTTCTTTAGCTGCTGGGGTCTTGGCTTTTCTTGAACTTTTCTTCTTAGTAGACTTCACAGATTTAGCCTGATCAGCATCTATTTCAACTTTTTCCTTAGAAACTTCATGTTCACGGGATGCGTTTTCATCCGTAAATTTACCAATGTGATCCAACGTTTTGGATTCCTGGACAAAGGCATGTGGGGTGCTCACCATACCAGCAGCTTGTAGATTACTCGCAGCTTGTATTTTATCTGCACCCATAAGTGTGGCCTCTCCGCTTCCCACTTTGTCAACAAATTTGTCACCCATCTCATTTTCTACAAAAAAAAAAAAAAAAAAAAAAAATCACCAGTTATGAGTTGATAGAAACTCCATGTGACATATAATTGTAAAGAAGAGCTATATTCGACCAAGAATCCAATTTACCATTTTGTATTGCCTCTACAAGAGCATCGGCAAGCTTTTCTCCTATCGAGTTAGGAATAGATTCAGAAGTAGCATCAACACAATCTAAACTTCCAGATACCTTCTCCCTCTCATTCACAATTATCTTTGCTGTTGTAGTAGCAGCAGTAGATTTATTGATGTCATTCTTTGAGGACTTCCTTTGCCTTTTCTTCTTCTCAGTAACTGGACTGGTTGTCAAACCACTGCTAACCTCCAACTGATTTTCTGGGTAGCTCACCAAATTATCGGTCTGGATATTATCTGCAGAACTTGGTATAGCTTTTCCGCTTCCCACATCTTCGTTAATCTTCTCACCAATCTCATTTTCTACACAAACGAACGGTAACATTATATGAGTTGATAGATACTTCCAATGAAATTTTTGAGGATATCAAAACTCAACCAAGAATCAGCAATAAGCCAATAACATTATAAGTTAACAATAAAAAATCCCTGAAGTCTGATTGTAGAGGACAGCTAAATTCGCTAAAGAACTGAAATTACCTTTGCCAAGATTTCCTCTTTGTGAAAGTAGACAAGATTCAGAAGTAGCATCAACACGATCTACATTTCCAGGTACTCCGTTTATCTCGTTCACAATTTCTCTTGAAGCTGTGGTAGCAGTAGCGGCAGCAGCAGATTGATTGATTTGATCTTTTGAGCTCTTCTTTCGCTTTTTCTTCTTCTCAGTAACTGGACTGGTTGTCAACTCACTGTTGGCCTCCAGATGATTTTCCGGGTGGCTCACTAGAGTATCAGTTTCCATATTATCTTTTCCCACATCTTCGACAGATTTCACACCCAACTCAGTTTCTACACAGAATCAGTAATTACACTATAAGTTAACAAAAGTCCCTGAAATATGAGTGTAGATGATAACTAAATTCAATAAAGAATTGACATTACCTTTCTGTGTTGCTTCTACAAGAAGATTTACAAGAGTTTCTCTCTCTGGGATGGGAAAAGATTTAGAAGTAGCGTCAACACAATCTACAATTCCAGGTACCTTCGTTTATCTCATTCACAACTTTTCTTGAAGTTTTAGTAGCAGCAGCAGTAGATTGTTTGATGTGATCTTTTGAGCTCTTCGTTCTCTTTCTCTTCTTCTCTGTAGCTGGACCAGTTGTCAAACCACTGCTAGCTTCCAACTGGTTATCCGCGTTAGTCACCAAATCAGCAGTTTGAAGATTATCGACAACACTTGGAGCCAATTTGCTTCCCTCACCTCTTTCATCATCTTGTGATGTAATCTGCCCATCTACAAGTTCCGAAGAAGGTGGAAGATCCTTCTCTTGGTCAATCATGACTATATCAGCAGTTTTTCCTCCCTTTTCAAGATCTACTGAAATTCAGAAAACAAGGGTAAAGCATACAATAACTCTCCATAACAGCTAATAAAGGATCCCAAAATTCAATCATAGTACCAAAATTCACCTTGTTCTATTGCTCCCGTAAGATCATCTACTTTTTCTAGAGCTTCTTTAACAGTTTGATTGTCTGGTACATCCTTCACCACACCCCTGGTATCCCCATCTACAAGCTCTAAGTTAACTGGGAGAATTTTCTCTTCCAATAGCCTGTCCGCATCAGAAGTTTGCTGATTGTCTCCCGTACTAACGCCGTTTTTCTCACCACTTTCAATATCTATAGAACATCAGATATTACAACCAAAGGTAAATGAAATAACACTGTCCAAAAACATCTAAAGAATCACTACATTCCATAATAACCAAAACAGAGGTTACCTGCTCCCGTAAGAACTTCACCCTGCAATTTTCCACATAACTCGGTAGTAGCAGCAACAGCAGATTGATTGAGATCAACCTTGGATTTCTTTCGACTTGCTTTATCATCCGAACTTATAATCCTCCTCTTCCTCGTCTTCTTCTCAACTACTTCAGTTCCCAAACCTTCTTCAATAGTCAAATCCTTAGCAATCTCTTTCTTCTTCTCAACCAACTCAAGATTCGAACGATTTTGATCAGTAGCCATTATAGTCAACATCTCACCCTCGTCAACTCTAACGGCATCAACATACATAAACCAGTTTCTACTAATCCCATCAAAAGCCTTACACACATTCAAAGATTCCGAGAAATGATAAAATTTCCTTCGTCGTTTAACCTTAAAAAAAAAAAAAAAACCACTCATCAATTATACTTGTTCCTAATGTATGAACAAAGCAGAAAACTCCATTACCTTCAACGCCGAGATATGAATTTCTCCAATTTCTGGGAAAACTTTTTTATGCTCCTTGATTACTTTGTCTATAAACCAAAAACCACAATAATCAGAGAAACGCAATAACAATAAGTTAAGAAGTCGATTTCAATGGCGTATGAAGAGATTATAGTGATGATTTTGCGAAGAGAGTAGTGGATTTTTTTTTTTTGTTGTCACCTTTGAAATCGGAGATGATTTCATCTTTGTGTACGGGTAACGCGAGACGAGTGTCGAGGTTGGTTTCTACATAGACGCAGTGAATCTCCGGTGAGGAATTTTTTTCCAGATTAGCCATTATTCGAAACGAGACTGGAATTGGAAGGAGACGAGCGCGAAGAAGACGATGAAGAAGTTCCTGGGAATCTAAAAGGTTTTAGGGTTTTAACTGTTAACAAAAAAAAATAAAAAAAAAAGTTTTTTTGCGAAAAAAAAAAAAACTTTTTTACAATATTTTGCGAAACAAATATTTTCCTTATTAAAATATTAGGGAGACCAATTAGAAAATTACGTGTGGCAATATTGACCAAAAAAGCCATAACTAAGCATAAATTCTGATTTTGCTACTCAATTCTTTTTGAAATTTCTGATCTTTATTAGTGGAGAATGGAGAATATGCATATTATAATTATCAACCAAACTAATTACACAATTTTTCAAAAATATACTAAATTATTTTGTGACATTTAGTCTTGTATTGTTTTCATTATAGGGAGAACAAGAAGCAAGAAAAGTGGCTAAAGAAAAGGATTTTGGTTGATTGGTTATTTGCAAAATAAGTAACTTTAGATTGCATTTGGTTCGGTTTATAAAAAGAGTGTTACTTAAACACAAATAAATGGTGTTCTTCACAAATAAATTATAAATGCTTCCAATCTACTCAACACATTTTGTGCAACCTTAACGTTCTCCACACTACCATTACCTGCAAAAGATCAAATACCCAAAGCAAACTTGCAACATAGAGAGTTTAAGCTAGAGATTCACATTATAACAATGTGCAGATTCTCTTAAAATCTCTATGAGAAACGAATATCTTCTAATACTAATGACTGTACTCGTTTTTTGTTTACGCACGAATTAACCGAGAGGTCACAAAGTTCTTGTGGATACAAGGTAAGCAATTATATCATGCTACAACACATCATTGAAATCACTGGGGAATAAAAAATAGGATGGTAGACAAAGATATGGTAATGCCCAATGGAAGTTATCTTTTAGCTGCAAGATGCATTACCTATAATGTTCTCTTGTTCTGTAACAAGCATTTCAAGAAATTTTTATCTTTCAGTCGAGAAAAATCAAGCAAGGTCAGAAATAACCTCTCCATATGTAGAGTAGCACTGCAAAACCGATGTACCCGGAAACAAACTTACTCTCCATTAAAGGCAGAGGCAAGACAGGTCGTATCTAGAGTGAGATCTTGGGTTGCTAAGAGCCTAAGATGGCCAAATCTGTCAACAAAACAAGCATATATATTTTTACCCGAGCACTGTTTCTTGTCTACTTGGAGAATGTTAGACACTATATCAAACAAAAGAAATGTCCAGAAAAATCCAGTCTTTCACTGACCTTTTCGACGACAAACAGCACAGAAAAGTCCTGCATTGCTTCCAATTCCAAGAACTAGGGAATGCCATAGTTAACTTTTCTAGAGTTTATGTAACACACATCTTTCCAAAATGCAATGCAACATTCCACAAGGTAATAGGAAGAGAAAAATATCAGTAGCCCATCAGACACGGCTTGAGAAAAGTTAACAATAGCATTCCCAAGTTCTGAGGATTTGGGACTTTATAAATCTAATTCTTCTAAGTATAGCAAGATTCTCAGGGTTCATCATTTATTAAAATCCCTTCTTGGTGCCACAAGTTCTAAAAATTTCTGCAGACACAGACACAGACACACAGAAAAAAACATGACAAGTATATTAAAACCAGATTAGTCAAGAACTGGATTCATTTTTCCTAGAGAAACCAAAGAGTGTTCGAAATAACTCTTTGGAAAAAAGATGATTCCTCTGCTTGTTCCGGTTCAGTTTGAATTCCGGTGCAATAACCGGAACTAACCGAACAACAACCAAACTATTTTATTGGTTATATTCCGGTACAATAATCTAACAAAGAAAAATGGAAAGTGGAAACAATCAATTAACGGTCAAGATTAACATCAGAAAAAAGGGAACAATGAATTAACGGTCAAGATTAACAACAGAAAAAAGGAAACAAAGAATTAACGGTCAAGATTAACAACAGAAAAAGGAAACAATGAATTAACGGTCAAGATTAACATGGATTCTATAGATGATAAAGAATGGAATCTCTCTATAAATATAATCACTTGTAGTAGCATCACCTGAAGTCCTGAAGCAAACAATTTACTCTCATTCTCTGTTTCTCTCTTAGCACAAATTCATCATCTTCGATCTCTGTCTTTTTAAATTTTGTGTGTTGAGTTCTTCTCTTTCTTGTCGCAAACGAAACTAGGGTTTTGGTTAATTCTTCTTCGATTCTTCTACACCATGGAAACCGAAACTGTGAGAATACAAGTGGCTACGAGGATGTCGAACCTACCTCCGAATCTAGGGTTCACGAGTGCAGTCCAAATCGAACTACACGAAGTGATCGAAGAGTTGCTCGAAGATGTTACTGGAACAACGCACGTGGCATCGTACGTGGCATCACTGTCTCCAATCTCTCGTGTTCTCCTGAAGCCACGTAGCTTCTTACCAGAAAAGCTCTCTCGTCTCCTTCGTCGTCAACTTAATCGTGAGACTCCTTTTTGTGAATATTTGGCTGAGAAAATCTCCTTTTGTCGGTTTTCACGTGCTAATTACACTCTTTATCAAAGACCTTTTCTCATGTCGGTGAACGTGAGAGTCGTCAAAGAGGTTCGGTTTATTTTGTCCTCTGTTTCTGGTCCGTTGAGTGGTGCTCCCGTGGATGTGTTTCAGAGATTGCTTGAGGAACAAACTGTGGAACCGGCCATGGATTTGGATGAGTCGTGTTCAATTTGTTTTGAAAAGTTGTCTGAATCGTCATCGGAGAGTCATCATAACAGCATCATTCAGATGCCTAAGTGTTTGCATTCGTTTCATCAAAACTGTATTTTTGAGTGGCTTGCTCGTCACAATTCGTGTCCCTTGTGTCGTAGAGTTCCGTTCGAAGAGGATCAAGATTAGGGTTAGGGTTTAGATGTTTTTTTTCTAGTGTACAATTTGTTTAATTTCTTGCTTGTTTCCGTATGTATCGACGTTTTCATGTATGTTTTGTAGGCAAAGTTATGAACAGAGACTCTAAGATTAGGCTAATTAGCGTTAGGGTTTATTCTAATGTAGTCTTTCTTGTTTTCGTATTGTATTGGCCTTTGATACATGTTTTGTAAGCAATATGTCACTTTAATGATAAATTTTTTGAATTTCCAGTACTTGCAATTTTCCATTAAATTTGTAGCATGAATACAGGTTGAATAATTAAGTGGTGTTCCGATCCAGAGAAGATTGAGACAGAAACACAAATAAATGTTAGAATGCAATAAAGGAAAGCAACAATATACAACACTTAGTGTGGTTAGAGCAAATAATACACAAGTCTTTCCAAAGGGATTAAGGTTTAGTTTGGTCTTTGCTAATGCTTCCTCGGAGTGACAGAACAAGCCAAACAAAGGATCGTATTATCCGTGGGGTCTTCTTACTGTTCCGCTTCGTCTGCTTTGCAATTCAACTGCAGAATCCAGAAACTACCTGTTATTCAAATGTATATTCAGCTGGTCACGCAATTTTTTAACTCAACAAAATGCTTCATTCATTTAAGATAAGTACTTACTCGTTTTGGCACATCAACCACATTGAAGGGTTGCAGCCACTAGGGTACTACATTTCACTTGAAAAAATGGAAAGAAAATGCAGAGTCGGCCAAAGCATCCGCCATAATATTGATCTTCCGTGAGTTATAAGGCGGCACGAGCTCCACACCAAACAAAATTTCCTGAGGAGTTTCTAATAATAACCAATCCAGCTCCACTACAATTCTTACTTTGGTTCCATGCTCCATTTGAAAAAAATAGAGGATATGACCACCATTTTGGGTTATTTCAAGGGGTGGATCAGTCCAAGCTTCATTCAATTGTTGTTCCTCCTCGGTTTGAGTACTAGATTTCCACAGATTGATATATCTCATAGCTTTAAATACTGTTTCCGGTGCCGCAATGTCCCTCCCTGAAAAAAAGAAAGAGTTTCGTGCCTTTCAAATTAAAGGCGCCAGAGAAGCCATGGAATTCTTTGACGATTTCAGTATTCTTCTCATTTGGTTTGAAATCTTTGGACTATATATAAGAAGTTCTTCATCTTCGGACTTGCATCTATAGGACAATGTTTTGGCTTGTATACGAACCCACTCTTACATGTAAAACCTTGCACACATCTTTAGGTGGATTACCTCTTTAACAGCTGCAACATTCCATTCTTGGCCGTTGTTTGCCACAATGTCCATAAATATAAGATATGGCTGCAAGTCTCTCCTTCGCCATACCATTATTCGCATTGTGAAACCTAAAAGCATTCACATCTCCGAATATGGCTTATTGATAGAAAACATTGTTAATGAAGTTTGAACTTACATAGAAAAAAGAAAGAGTGTAAATTTGATTGATAGTTAGTTTTATCCAACTGCACCATACTGGTTATAAACTAAGGCCTGCTTCTCCTCCCACCATCTCTGTAACCCTCTTTCAACTGCGACAGCAACAAGTAAAAACAAAAAAGATTGAGGTCCTAACCTAAATTGCACACGTTAAAGCGTATAGAGCAGGGAATGGAAGTTATACCTACTTGTTTAGATGTTGATACTCTGGTCAAATCTTGTGAACCCCCTTGTTTAGGTGACGAATGACTCAGTTCATTTATAGTTGTCTGCCTAGTGTTTTTTAAGCAATTCTTTAGAGCTTCTTCTAGCACATGGTTCTTCGATCTTCAGTGTTTAAGCGACGAGTTCTGATACATGCAACTGATAACACTATGGCTTATAGCCCTATCAACATCTATATGTGAGCTGAGAGAACTTGTCAAAGAGAGATGGAGATATGCTAGTAAATAGAGCTTGGACTAGCTGATTAAGAAATACTACATGTCTCATGATATGTCCTTGTAGGTTCAACAATATACCATATAAGGTAAATTTCATCAATGTTTACTGAAATAATTGAAACTGTTTTCACATTCATCTCATAGAAGCTGTTATATAGTTGCGAATATATAGCAATATAGTATCGAATAAACCAAGTTTCTAAACCAAAATTTCAGCAACAAAACAATCTAAATAGCAGCAACTGAAGTAAACCAGTCAACAACATAACTTAATCTAATGAAACTATTGCTAAGCCAATTTTTAGCTAACGGAAAAAAATCTAAAAGGCGACAAAGGAAGTGAAAATCACTACTTGATTTAGATTTTCTTGAAACTCAAGAGTTGATTTTGGTATTTCGACTTACGATAATGAAACGGATATGCACCGAAGCTCGCGATTTCTCTTCGTAATCCTTGTGAATCCGCAGGATTGATCTGAACCACGAACCAGCTCATGATATGTCCCTGTATGTTTTAATGGTTTAACTCGATCAGTTACCATTTTTGATGGATAACTCTTGTCCGTTGTGTAGTATAGAGTTCCGTACGAGGAAATATCATGAAGCCTTGTGAGAAGACTTGAAGTTAGGTTAGGGTTTAGATGTTATAGGTTTTGTTCTAACGTTCTTAGTAACGATTATGAAATATGTTTGATTTCTTTGTATGTATTTTGCATTTGATGTGTTGTTGTGTTGGAAAATGGTAATTTCAAACTGATCCACTAAACCAGAACAAACCGTAGCCAGTTGTCAAACTATTTTATTGGTTCACTTCCAGATTTTTTTTTTTTTTTTTTTTGGGTCATAAATTGGTTTAATTCCGGTTAATAACCAAATCCACAAGACCAGATTCCTCTGTTTGTTCCGGTTCAATTTGAATTCCGGTGTAATAACCGAAACTAACCGAACAACAACCAAACTATTTTATTGGTTATATTCCGGTACAATAATCTAACAAAGAAAAATGGAAAGTGGAAACAATCAATTAACGGTCAAGATTAATTAACATCAGAAAAAAGGGAACAATGAATTAACGGTCAAGATTAACAACAAAAAAAAGGAAACAATGAATTAACGGTCAAGATTAACAACAGAAACAAGAAACAATGAATTAACGGTCAAGATTAACATGGATTCTATAGATTATAAAGAATGGAATCTCTCTATAAATATAATCACTTGTAGTATCATCACCTGAAGCAAACAATTCACTCTCATTCTCTGTTTCTCTCTTAGCACAAATTCATCATCTTCGATCTCTGTCTTTTTTATGTGTGTTAAGTTCTTCTCTTTCTTGTCGCAAACGAAACTAGGGTTTTGATTCATTCTTCTTCTTCTACACCATGGAAACCGAAACTGTGAGACTACAAGTGGCTACGAGGATGTCTAACCTACCTTCGAATCTAGGGTTCACGAGTGCAGTCCAAATCGAACTACACGAAGTGATCGAAGAGTTGCTCGAAGATGTTACTGGAACAACGCACGTGGCATCGTATGTAGCATCACTGTCTCCAATCTCTCGTGTTCTCCTGAAGCCACGTAGCTTCTTACCAGAAAAACTCTCTCGTCTCCTTCGTCGTCAACTTAATCGTGAGACTCCTTTTTGTGAATATTTGGCTGAGAAAATCTCCTTTTGTCGGTTTTCACGTGCTAATTACACTCTTTATCAACAACCTTTTCTTATGTCGGTGAACGTGAGAGTCGTCAAAGAGGTTCGGTTTATTTTGTCCTCTGTTTCTGGTCCGTTGAGTGGTGCTCCCGTGGATGTGTTTCAGAGATTGCTTGAGGAACAAACTGTGGAACCGGTGGATTTGGATGAGTCGTGTTCAATCTGTTTTGAGAAGTTGTCTGAATCGTCATCGGGGAGTCATCATAACAGCATCATTCAGATGCCTAAGTGTTTGCATTCGTTTCATCAAAACTGTATCTTTGAGTGGCTTGCTCGTCACAATTCGTGTCCTTTGTGTCGTAGAGTTCCGTTCGAAGAGGATCAAGATTAGGGTTTGTGTTTAGTGTTTTTTTCCTAGTGTAAAACAGTCTGATTTCTTTATTATTTCCGTATGTATCAATGTTTATGAACAGAGACTCTAAGATTAGACTAATTAGGGTTAGGGTTGATTCTAGTATATGTTTAGGTAACGGTTTTGAAATTTGTTTGATTTCTTGTGAGATTCATATGTAACGTAGTCTTGCTTGTTTTCATATTGTATTGGCCTTTGATATATGTTTTGTAAGCAATGTGTCACTTGTACTTGCAATTTTCCTTTAATTTGTAGCATGAAAACAAGTTGAATAATTATAACTACTGTTCCCAAACCATCAGATCTCTAATATGAAACCAGAGAAGATTGAGACAGAAACACAAATAAATGTTACAAAGCAATAACATACATTATACAACACTTAGTGTGGATAGAGCAAAGAATACCACGTCTTTCCAAAGGTCTCTGCTTCCACGGGGACAATGCTTCCTCTGTGTGAGATGATAACTCATGGCTCTGTCAAAATACCGTAACAGAAAATGGTGACTAAACAAGCCAAACCAAGGATCGTATTATCCGTGGGGTCTTCTTACTGATCCGCTTCATCTGCTCTGTAATTCAACTGCAGAATCCAGAAAGCACCTGTTATTCAAATTCAAATGTACTTCAGCTGGTCACACAATTTTTAACTCAACACAATGCTTCATTCATTTAAGATAACAACTTACTCGTTTTGGCACATCAACCACATTGTCAATAATATTGATCTTCCGTGGTTTATATGTCGTGAAGTCGCACGAGCTCCAAACCAAACTAAATGTCCTGAGGAAGTTTCTAATAACTCATCCAGCTCCACTGCAATTCTTACTTGGTTTCAATGCTCCATTTGAAAAAAAAAAACAGAGTATATGATCACCATTTGGGTTAGTTTCAAGGGGTGGACAAGTCCAAGCTTCATTCAGTTGTTGTTTTTCCTCGGTTTGGTTACTAGATTCCACAGATTTGCATCTTTCATCGCTTTGGATGTGCCACAGCCCACAATCACAATGTTCCTTCCCTGAAAAGAGGAAACTAAGGCATGCTTCTCCTCACACTATCTCTGTCATTCTTTCTATGTAACCCTCTTTTGACTGCAGCAACAACAAAAACAACTAATCAGATAAACAAACGTTATTAAGCATGCAAGGAAGATAGAGTTAACCTAAGCCAATTTTTCCAGCAACAAAACAATCTAAAAAAAGGCATGTTTGAGGATCATAGTAATGAACATTACAATTACAATGCTGAAATTCCAAAAGCTCATATACAATATTCTTCACAAGAGACAAAGAGATCTTTGTCAGTAACTTCAAATCCAAGAATGGAAAAAAAAATTTAAAAAAAAAAACAGTAAGAGAAATTGTAGACAACAAATGATCACTACTTGATTCTCAGCTACCAGAAAAACTCTAAAATCTGACCCATTAAATCGGAATAAACCGAAGCCAATACCAAACTATTTTCTGGTTATATTCCGGTTACTAACCCAAAACCACTGGTTGCTATAATACTATTTTTTTACAATTACAAATCTGATCCATTAAACCGGAACAAACCGTAGTCAGTTCCAAACTATTTTATTGGTTCAATGCCAGATGTTTTGGGGGTCAAAATTTGGTAAATTCCGGTTATTCAACCAAATCCACCGGACTACTGATTTTTATATTTTCCTTTTCTAGGACCAAATTTGTTTCGAAATAATGTGAAAAGATTTTTTTGGTTTATAGAGATAGTGATGTTGCAAAATAACGTGAAACGATCTGATTTGTCCTCAAGCTTTTTAGTCACTTAATAAATAACGAATTTTGTTGATCGAAATTTCCTTTTTATCTAAAAAATCGACCGTTAATTGGTTGTTTCCTTTTTCATTTTTTTCACTAAATTCAATTTTTTTCCTTTTCTTAAACTCGACCAAATTGGTTATTTCCTTTTTCGTCAACAAATTTTATATGTTTTCCTTTTTTTTTTAACTGAAAAACGTAAATTCTATCTCTATATAATAATTCACTCAGCCTCACCTGATCAAAGAAGCCAATTCACTCTCTCTTAAGTCAATTTCATCAATCTCTTCAAATCCAAAAATTTAGGGTTTGAAAATCTTCTTCTTCCACCATGAATACAGATAGTGGGGTGATCCTAGAAGTTACTACAAACGCAATGCTCCTACCACCACATCGAGGGTTTGAAAACAAAGTGTTCGTTTGTCTACACAATGTGGTCAACGAGTTAGCTGAAGATCAAAACGGTATCGTAACGTATTTGGGAACGTTCCCGGATCCACATATGTCTAAAATCGAACTAAAACCATCATGTTTCTGTTCACATCACATCTCTCAACACCTTGACGAGTTCTTCACAGATACTCGGTTTTGTCGTATGTTGAGTGAAAAAATTGCTGTGGATTGTGCTTCTCTTCCTCAACCTTTTAGTGTGACCGTTTACGTGAAAGTGATAAGAGATGTTCGAGTTACGTTATCGTCTATTGTTGTTCGGTCGAAAGATATGTTTCAAAGATTGCTTGAGGAACAAACAGTGGAATTGACTGGTTTGGGAGATGAAGAAGAAACGACTTGTTCGATTTGTATGGAGGAGTTTTCGGAGAGTCGAGATGATAACATCATTCTGTTGCCTGACTGTTTCCATTTGTTCCATCAAAGTTGTATCTTTGAGTGGCTTAAGCGACAGAGGTCGTGTCCTTTGTGTCGACGAGTCCCGTACGAGGAGGATCATGAAACAGAGTGAAGTCTTAACAGAGACGTGATGATTAGGTTAGGGTTTATGATGCTTTGATGTTTCTATGTATCAAACATTTGCTTTGATGTATTATTTGTTGGCAACTGGTAACTTTTGTTATAAACCTAATCTTTTGTTATTAGCCCTTTTAATCCTTTCGTATGTAACAATGCAATGAAAGAGAGGCCATTGCATGCACAACAATTTAGAGTTATCAAGAAGATTTGATTGATCAAATAAAAATGTTTTAAGTACAAGGGATCTCAATTTCTGACTGGTTATATATGGAAAGACGCGAAACTTTGGAGTGATCTTACGAATCAAAATCCAAAAAAACTTTCCCTAATTCTCTGACATTATACACATAATCTGAAGTTGAGATCAAAAAGAGTTACACAACTGACTTAGAGAAAGCTTTACACAAACAAACATTTTCACCACAAAGGATATGACATTTTTACATTGTCAATGGTTTCTTCCACCTTTACTCTCTTTTTGTAAGGCATGAAACCTCTCATGTTGTTCATCTCAGTCACCGACGATTTCAGCTGAGAGAAAGCCGATCTCTCGCTTCTTTTAAACTCCGATACTTCCAATCGTGTCACTTCTGTTTCAGCGTTTTCCGAAGTACAAGAAGAACATTGAAGAGACTGTGTTTCTGAGTCTAGCTTCTTCTTGAGATCTTCAGAATCATCAGAGCTTGTTGAAGAGTTGTAATCACCAACTACAAAAGTCTTTCCAAAGAGCTTAAGGCTTTGTTTGTTTTCTGCTTCTGGAGACAGTGATTCCTCTGTGTGAGATGATAACTCATGTCCCTGTTGGTAATCAGCTGAAGAAGAGTTAAGTGAATTTGAACCAATGGAACCTAATCCATCTGAGCCATGAGCTGATAAAACCGATGTTGGAGATCGGTTATCTTCATCCTGAACCAGCTTGGATCCGGTTAGTTCAGTATATGCCATCTCTTTTGCATCCGGAATCACAAGCTTCCTAGGGTAAGGATGCATCGGCTTTCTTTTCGGCCGTGGTGGCGGAATCTCAATGGACTCAGAGCTAACACCAAAATCGCGAGCAACCTATATTAAGAAACTTGAATTAGACCTTGATTAACACGAAAAGGTTGAAACTTTTCCATGTACAAAGTCTCAAAAGCAAACCTTAGTGAAGAACTTCTGAGCATGACTTCGAATCTGAACCGCGGTCTTTGTTCCAACATGTTCTGTTTCAAGGAAGAATCAACAAAAGTCAGATCTCTCTACCCAATAAGTTGACTCATTACTAGGTTCCAAGTAGTTTACTTATATCCTCATCAAACCTAGTTTAGAATGTGCATTAGACTCTCTAAAGTCAGATAAGCACACACACCTTCGATTCGTCTCCAAGCTCTGCCATAGAGTTTCAAAGCTTCTACAAACTTCTCATGCTCTGCTTCTGTCCATTTCTCTCTTTGTTTAGTAATGGTATAAGGCTTTCTTGTCTATAACAAACACACAAAACACCAATTAAACCTCGAAACCAATAAGCTCATCACATAAACTCTCATATAAGAAACACAATTAGTACCTTGAGGTAAAAGGCATCTGTGGAAGATATAAGCTCATCACATAAACTCTCACAACGTTCCTATAATCACAAATCCAAAAAAATACAATTAGTCTCTTAATATTGTAATTAAGTTTGAAATAATTGTTACAAAGAGTGTTATAAAACTAATAAATACGCATCTAGAAGAGTTAGACCACCAGTAATAATTAGGGGATTAGAGACTTGTTCTTACCTAATAAAACGCATCAATACATTAAGAAAGAAGTAATCTCTCTTTTAAAACAACCGACCATAATATCCCACAAATCGCCTGGTCTATTAACACAATTTTAACCTGCGACAATCGAATAATCTTCAGTTCCAAGTTCTCTCAGACAAAGAGATTAAACTTGAAATTACAAAACAAAAAACCTAATTTCTCTCGGACATAAACCTAAGTTTAGGTTAAACCTGTCTGGATTCCATAACAACCTCTGTCCAATAAACATAACAATAGTAACAAAACCAAAATCAAGATTGCATAAGAATAAGAAGAAGATAGATAGATCTCACACCTGCATAGCCATGGTTGCAGAAGAAGAAGAAGACTTAAAGATTTAAGATCTGAAATCTGAAGAAGAATAAAGAGAGAGAAATGTTTGAGATTGGTAAGAGAGTTGTTGTTTATGGAAGGAGCAGAGTCAAGGGGTTACTTTAAAAGAGCAAGAAGAAGATAAGCCACGTAAGCATAATATTTATTTTTAATATTTTAAAAAATTTTGGTTGAAAAAGCGTAAAGAGGGGTTTCGAGAAACTAATATCATGTGGCTCAGGTTAAAAGATGCTAATGACACGTGGAGGATATCTTCTTCGCTTTCGCTTTTTTGTGTTTTGTCTTTGCGGAGAAGATATTATTATCTGTTCTTTGTTAAATCTTGTCGGAGATTTTTAATTATTTAATTTATCCACTAGAAAAGGTTTTAGAAAAAGATCATTTCATTTATTATTGCCAAACTCGCGAGTGGTGAGCGCGTGCCTTGTTTAACAACGTTGTTTACTTCTGCCTAATTTTATTTGTTTTCTATTAATCAAGTGGATTGCATAATTAATTTTAGTTGTAGGTACTACTCCAAATTTAAGCTGAGAAATACTAGTGAGACCTGTTTCCTTATTTTTGAAAATCAGAGTGGAAAGAAAGCTTATTCTAATTTTCAAAAGCAAGGAAACAGGTCTGTCGACTACTCTGATTTTCAAAAATAAGAAAACAGGTCTGTCGGGAGAACTGTCACAACTATCGATATGGATCCTCTGGAGACTATGGAAGAATAGGAACCTTGTGATCCATCAAAGGAGACAAATCCATTGGAGACGAGATCTTGAATATGCAAAATCAGACTCACAAGAATGGTTGGATGCGGACAACTATCAATCAACAAAAATACCAACCAATACGACCGCCATACGTAGAAGAGAAAGTCCCAAAGCTACTGGGAAAGACCTGATGCAACTCGGGTAAAATGTAATTATGATGGCTCTTATGTTAACAATGGTGAACCAAGTAAAGCTGGGTGGATTCTTCGCTACGACAAGGGTGTTTACCTGGGATTGGGACAAGGAGTAGGTAAAGGTACTTCATGTGCTTTAGAAAGTGAGATCCAAGCTCTGATTATAGCGATGCAAAACTGCTGGATAAAAGGATATGAGAAAGTGTTCTTTGAAGGAGATTGCAAACAGCTAGATGATATTCTCAAAGGTAAGTCAATGAATTTTGGCGTCCTCAACTGATGGCGAGAAGTTCAATTTTGGAAACGGCGATTCAAGCATATTCAATTCGGTTGGATTAAACGGGAATCTAATAAGCCGGCTGATATTCTTGCCAAACATATGATTCGTTGTAATGCTTCCTCTGTGTTTTATTATTATGTTCCCAGTTTTATTGTAGAAGCTATACACTCTGACCATTTGGTCTCTTCCATCTATTAAATAAAGAAGATGTTAAAAAAAAAAGAATTAAAACAAATATAGCACACTTTATACAAATTTCTAAAAATAGCAATAAATAATAATACAATAACTATTTTGTTTTTATTAGAAATATTATCGATAATTATGTATAACATCACTTATAAACATTTCTAAATCATATCATAGTGACATGAAATTACATTTCTATGAATATACAGGTTGATTGGATGGTGCTTTAAAATCTGTAGAATATCAAAAGAACTATTTTTACGGTTTAATTGTGAGACAATCAGTCTTTGGCTTTATAAAATGAAGTCTAGGCCAAAAAAGTGAAAAATGAAGTATATTAGCTGTGAGAATCAAGTTCTAAATAAATGTTCAATTAAAATTAGCGGAAATTTTAAAATTTTAAAACAAAGTAATAGTAAAATATGTCAAATATCAGATCAAATGCTTCGATAATACAAAAAAAATTATGATATTTTCGATCACTTAAATAATTCATAAAATCTAATTACGTTCTTTATTGTATTTTTGTTTTTGGGAGAATTTCAAAAGTACCTTTTTTACAATATCTTTTTTTGAAAATGCCTTAAATGATGTTCATTTTCAATTTAACGAAAGAGCATGAACGAGTGAAAAAATCGCGGACCGGGTGATTATACAAAACATAATAAAACATGTACCGAGCGGTTATCAAATTTTTTTTATTTTAGTTAAACATTTCTAAAAATCTTGCTGTTATTTGTTTTTCTCATAATCTTAAAAATTAGAATCTGAATTGTTTTTGCTTAAATACTTAAATTTAGTCTATTTTATAAAATTAACTGAATAAACCACCAAATATTTATTGTTTGAATGTAAATATCTTTATGCCATTTTCATTGTTCATTTATTTTAGCATAGACGAACATTAACTAATGAGGGCCAAGAACTTAAGACTATGAACCTAGACTTAGCAGGAATAATTAGGTTTAATGATGACAGATCATATATTTTTGGAGTGCTCTCTTTTGACCAAAGTATGTGGCAAAGAAAGCGAGTACGTAAATAGAAACATACACGAGCGTTGTTCTAAAACAAGAAAGAGATATTTAAATTTCAGTAGCCGTCAACTTCAAACATAGTATAATTTTAAAACAAAATTAAATAGGTATTTTATGTGAAGGACAAAAATTGTAAAATAAATATCTGGAAGTCTTACAAAAAAAAACCAAATTAGAAATTGTTTTGTACAACTCTCTCAAATTGAACAGGAAGAAAAAACAACACTTTTGGTTTGCACTTTATCGCCTAGTCAGCACAAAAGTGTTGTCCTCTGAGATGTTCCAAAAGTCAGACACGTGTCGTTATGTTACGGTAAGAGAGAGAAGGATAGGGATTTGGATGGTTTGCTATTCTACGCCACTCGATTATTTATTAATTACCAAAAAATTGTTGCCCACTCGTTGTTTTCGGTGTTTTAAGCTATAGGTTTTTTTTTTCCCTTCAATTCGTATTATTAAAGTTTACATTTTTGTTGATCTTACGAATCTAAAATATTCTTAAAAAAATACTTGTATCAGTAAAATACTGGTGTAGTGGCCACTAAAGAAGTTCTTGGTTCATGTATTTTTGTTGCTTTTTTTATTTATTAAAAAATAATTTATCGAAATATATAAACTTTTCATTATTAACCGACTATTTGATTAATGTAAAGAACAGTCGGTGCAAGATATGTGAGGGTCTTCAATCGAGATCTTTCAACAATCTAAACTTACGGACGAACAAATATCTTATATGATTATAAAACAAATATCTATATGGGAATAGACCCTAAGTATAATCGTTGAATTTTTTTTTAAATATCTAAAAGTCAATCAGATATTAAAGCGGAATGATTGGAACTTCATAATGACAGAATTTTACAAAGCTAATTGATCTAAAGCGAAAATATAACTAATTTATAATGAAAATATCTTTAACATAATGTACATTGGTATATTATAAACTTCAAAATTATATATTACTACTAATTAATACCAGTGATGAAGTTGTGAATTATGATGAAAACATGTAAGACAAGTAACAAAGCTCCAATTTAGAGTTAATAATGGGCTTTGTAAGCTCCAAACGTGAAACAAAACACAAATGTTTATTTTTTGAAGCTCGATTCTAAAAGTTAAAATTTCAGGTGTAAAAAGGTCAAACCTGGGCCAATTCTAGAAGGCCCAATCTTGTTAGTGTTTTGGGTCAACAAATTTTGCTACTTGTGTTTTCTATCTCACAACCTAACGCTCGCTTCGCTGATCATTCCGTCGTCCCTCACCGTCTCATCTTAATCAGCTCCTCAAAAACACGTTTCCGCTCCATTGTGTCTCGAGACGAATCGCCGTCACTCTTAGGTACGTCTTTTTCTGTGTAATTTCTCCTGAAATTAGAATCGATTCTGTAGTATCTGTTTAATTTTCGAATTGCAATCACTCTTAGGTATGTATATGCATATAAGAAGATTTTAGAAAACAATAGCATCATAGTAGGAAAATTTTGAACAGGCCCGGCCCGAAGCAGAAGCCCAACAAGCAAGGTCTTCTGGCAGCAGATTTTTTATGTAATTTTAGGGGCATCAAATTTGAGAATGTCCTTTAGTGTAGTGGTAAAGTGTTGTGCCATTTTCCATCAAAGCAGGGTTTGAACCTCTTCAAGTTATGGGCTATGGAATGCATGATCTCGATTGGCGACCTTTTTGGTGCTTTTGCCTCTGATTGCTCCGACTTAATCGCCCTCCTTGATAATTATGATGATTGGCCTATCTTTGCAGCTGAATTGGCCTCTTTTAGGTCTCTTATTTTTTTTTTTCCCTTCTTTTAGTATTAGATTCATTCCTCGTAATTTTAATTGTCGGGCTGATTGTTTAGCCAAAAGTGATATATCATGGATTTTACCGTTTTTTGCCATGATATATGTATTGTTTTTATAGTCTTTTTTGTTATTTTTAGAGTCTTTTATAGTATTTTTCAGGTTTATGCACGTTCGAGACTAATTTGGAGATTATGGATCATTCTGGAGCAAAACCAAAAAGTTATGCTGCAAGAGCAATCCGGAGACCAAAATACGTGTAGGTGTCGATCGACACCAATTTCTAACGGCAATGCAATTTCGAGTCTCTTTGAAGTTATGAAGATTTGCAGAATCGCCCCAGAAGTTTTCCCTATTTTCAAAGAAGTCCCTGCACGTTTTTAAGAACATATAAATAGATTTTTATGGTTTTGTTTTAAAGACATATCTGAGATCTCTGATCTCTTAAGCTTTATTTTACTTTGTATTCTTTGGAGATTGAACCCTTTGGTAGATAATTGGAGAGAACTCCTCCAGAGAAGATTTCTTAAACTCTTTTACTTCTTCTCTTGATTTCTTTATGCAATTCTATTCAATCATGTTGTTTGCTTCAATCTCCATGTCTGAGTAGTTTGCTTGTTAGGTTTAGGGATTCTCAATAGGGATATAGATGAATTAGTAGATCGATAACCTGTTAGGGTAAAATCTATAGAGTTCTTAACTTTTGATTGTTCTTAATGCTAATTCTACCTTGATCATCTAGAATTTGATCTTAGGATAATAGGTAGATTCGAGAGGTCATCTATTACTGGAACTATCTTAGGTGGGCAGAGATTTCTAGATTCATTCGAGAGGTGGTTTAGGAATATCTGTGAACAAATCAAACATGTTTTTAATGCTAGTCTAGATCTAGGAGTTCGCATTCGAGAGGGTGAAATTACCTGATATTAGATTAGTTAGTGAACGCATTCGAGAGGGTGGTTGGCTATACATTAGTATTTTGAGTTCTAGAAGACTAGAACGGTTCGATAATAATCCTAATTAATTTGCTAGATTTACTATTAATTTATTTCCTGAGAAATTCCTAAGCCTGACGTTTCATCTATCTGTTTTACAACCGATTTACTTGTTTTGCTTTTATTTAATTTATAATCTTTTCTGTTTAGCTTAATTCAAAACCTGTTAGTCTATTGTTTGAACACGAGAGCTTTGTGGAATTCGACCGTAAAGTACTGCAATTGATCTCTTATTTGATAAGGTAGTCTTAGGTCTAATTTGACTCACATCAAATTTGGCGCCGTTGCCGAAGTTCTCTTTGCTTCACCATTAGATTAGGTGTAGAATTTAGTCTAAGCTTTTTTTTCTTTTCTAGTTACTTACGCTTTCTCTCTTCTTTTTTTTGTGTGTTTCAGGTGTTTGTCTAGTCGCAGAACCGAATTCAAGCGAAGAACATGAACGGGAGTAAGATTACTGGGTTAATGGCTAAGCTTGATGCAGTGCACAATCTCCTTGTGGATGATGTCAATTATGTTGGTGGAAGAGGTTTTCAGAATCAGAGATTTGAACACCAACAAGGGTACAAAGGTTTCTATGAGAATGGTCCGACTGGATACACTCAGAAGTCTCAATTCCAACAACCGTTTTAGAGTAGCAGTAGTTTCAGCTTCACAAGGAACTATGATCTTGCTTCTTACAACCCCCCCTCCACCTGCACCACTAAGCAAGATAGAATCAATGTTGGAACAAATTCTGGAAGGTCAGCAAAAGATCTTAGAGAGACCCCTACCTAGATGGATTGAGAGCAACCTCACACCAGCTTGCCATGCTGTTTTGATGGAAAGTGAAGATGAGTTCGTTGAAATTCATGAGAGCGAAGCTGATTTTGTGATTGCAGAGGTAGTGTCGACCGACACCAATACAAATATCCGAGAAATCAAGCTGTGGCGAAGCAAAATCGACCTGGCTAGACACTGATTTATGGGACCACTCGACACACAGTCTTAGTGTCGACCGACACCACCTGGGTATCAATCGACACTCCTCAGAAACAAAAGAAGAATCGACGTTTGACGAAGCAGAATCGAGCGAGCTCGACATAGAAGAGTCGACGCCAGACAGTAGTGTCGACCGACACTCACCTAGTGTCGATCGACACTGGACGCGGACTGCATAAATCAGACTTGAGTTTCCACCTGTTGCTGAACAAGTCTACACGCCTCAAGTTCCTTGTCCAATACCTCGACGGTCTAAGCAGGAGATTCAGAAGGAGCGCTGCAAGGATATCATGGATAAGATTCTACCTAAGTTGCCTCCGGTTGATATAGAGAAGTTGTCACCACCGCTTCAATGTGCTATTATACTATATGAAGCTCCACAGGAGCAGAAGGAGAAGCAAAAGATAGTGTTTATCTCAGAACAGGTCAGTGCCATGATTCAGAGAAGGATTCAAGAGAAGCTACATGATCCAGGAAGCTTTGTGCTAGATTGCTCTATCTCTACAGGAAGGTTTCCTCGCTCTCTTTGTGATCTAGGCTCTTGCATCAACTTGATGCCCCATTCTGTTGCTGCAAGACTTGGGATGACTGATTACATGCTTACCAGGATTACTCTTCTCCTGGCTGATCGTTCAAAGAGAATCCCTTAAGGTATCTTAGAGGATGTTCCGGTAAAGACTGGTGAAAGCTTAATTCTAGCTGATTTCGTGGTATTAGCATATGATGAAGAACCTCCAGATCCTCTTATTCTGGGAAGATCCTTCTTGGCTACTCCTGGTGCTCAGATTAATGAGAAAAGAAGTCAAATAGCTTTGAATGCGTGTGATGTGGTTATGACTTTCGACATGGATAAGTCAAGGAGGACACCAACCATAGATGGTCAATCTTTCTCAGTCGAAACTTCCACAAATCCTGTTGCTGCAACTGAAAAGGAATTGGGTATAGGTGAGACTACAAAGGCTGACATGGCCAAACCGAGTGCTGAGAATCGATCTGCAGAGATGGTGTCGATCGACACCACTACTTGTGTCGGTCGACACCCAGGACGAGCAAAACCAGAGTTGTCCAACAAAGCTGTTTTTCGAGCTGAAATCACTGCTGCAAGTCTGGGAACTGTTGTCACGTCAACCACTGCACCTCTCCCACTCCATCCACCTCTTCAAAAGCTGAGGTAATCACGTTCTCCACCTAAACCTCCTGATTTCATCAATAAGACTTTAAAATTTTCAAAAACTGTTTTACGGTTAAGCAAGCCACGAGTTTCTCGTCGAGCGCTTGTTTCTTCTTTTGATGATTGTGCTGGAAAACGGAGTAGACCACCCATACCTAAGCCCCGCCTTGCTGACATTCCTCACTTCCTTGCTGACACCTTCATGGATGATGAGAGGTTTTTCTCCGCGGTATTTACTGCCACCGTCTGATCCACCTGATATCTGAACTTCGACATAGTCAAGCTAATGACTGAAAATAAGCGCTTAGTGGGAGGCAACCCACTGGTATGTTTTACGTTTTTCTTTTTTATTTTGGATTTTATTTTACGTTTTTCTTTTATTATTTTTCGCCAACTTCGGGTTTGAATGCCACTGGGGACAGTGTCGTTTAAGTCTGGGGGAGGCAGTCACTAACTACGTTTTTCTTTTTGAGTCTTATTTTTATTTTCTTTTCTTTTGAGTCGTTTTATTGAGTCAAAGTTTTTGTTGGAAATTATGATCTTTTTCTCTAGATTATTGTCTGGTTAGTTTAATGCTGCAGATTCGAATCAATCCGACTAATGGAAAATCCAGAGAGTTAATCAATAGACCATAGGACATCCACGTTTCCAACACAATCCGCTAAAACCTGAGCTAAATTCATGCTCTTCACCTCGTCAATACGGTTAGTATTCTCAGAACTTGACTCCTCGTTCATACCTGATAAATAAGACCAATGTGGAAAAGTGATGGTGCTCCTCTCCCTACTTAAAAAAAAAAGGATTGAGATGATTTTCGTTTGGAGTAAAGAGATAGGAAAATTTCCCGTGATCTCATTATTTTGCTTCAAGAGGAATGATCACACGAAGGTTGGAAGCGAGGTTAGGAAAATTTCTGATAATACCATTATTCGCCTACACCTTTGAAGTTGAAAAAAAAAAATGGTTCGAAAAAGAATAAGTCTGGGGGAGAGAAAGAGTACCAAGGAAATATTGAAATGGTTGAATTTATCATGGTATAGTACGAGAATGAGTCTAGAAGGTTCTTGAGTACTGATTTTATTGAGGAGATTTATGCGATGAGGGCTATAGGATATAGTTGTGGAATTTGGTTTGGAATTTGGAATGTTGAGAATGCTTGCGGAGAATTACATGGTGGTTAGGATTTGATGCGATCTGCTAGACATTTGGATTTGGTTTGAATGATCAAGGTAATAGGCTAGAGAAATTGGGAGTTTCTGTGTTTTCAAACTTCTTCCACGGGTTCGACTTTTGTGTTTTGCTTGAGGGCAAACAAAAGCTAAGTCTGGGGGAGTTGATATACCTCGATTTTTACCGGTTTTTGGTATGATTTAGATATAGGTTTTAGAGTCTATTTGTTATTTCTAGAGTCTTTTCTAGTCCTTTTCAGGTTTTACATGTTTGGGATGCATTTGGAGATTATGGAGCATTCTGGAGGAAAACAATATCTGACGGCAATTCAAATACGCGTTTTATTGAAGTTATGAAGATTTGCAGAATCGCCTCAGAAATTTTCCCTATTTTCAAAGAAGTCCCTGCACGTTTTTAAGAACATATAAATAGATTTTTAGGGTTTTGTTTTAAAGACATATCTGAGATCTCTGATCTCTTAAGCTTTATTTTACTTTGTATTCTTTGGAGCTTGAACCCTTTGGGAGATAATTGGAGAGAGCTCCTCCAGAGAAGATTTCTTAAACTCTTTTGCTTCTTCTCTTGATTTCTTTATGCAATTCTATTCAATCATGTTGTTTGTTCAATTTCCATGTCTGAGTAGTTTGCTTGTTAGGTTTAGGGATTCTCAATAAGGATTTAGATGAATTAGTAGATCGATAACCTGTTAGGGCAAAATCTATAGAGTTCTTCACTTTTGATTGTTCTTAATGCTAATTCTGGCTTGATCATCTAGAATTTGATCTTAGGATAATAGGTAGATTCGAGAGATCATCTATTACTGAAACTATCTTAGGTGGGAAGAGATTTCTAGATTCATACGAGAGGTAGTTTAGGAATATCTGTGAACAAATCAAACATGTTTTTAATGCTAGTCTAGATCTAGGTGTTCGCATTCGAGAGGGTGAAATTACCTGATATTAGATTAGTTAGTCAACGCATTCGAGAGGGTGGTTGACTATACATTAGTGTTTTGAGTTCTAGAACGGTTCGATAATAATCGTAATTAATTTGCTAGATTTACTATTAATTTATTTTCTGAGAAATCCCTAAGCCTGACGTTTCATCTATCTGTTTTACAACCGATTTACTTGTTTTGCTTTTATTTAATTTATAATCTTTTCTGTTTAGCTTAATTCAAAACCTGTTAGTCTATTGTGTGAACACGAGAGCTTTGTGGAATTCGACCCTAAAGTACTGCAATTGATCTCTTATTTGAGAGAGTAGTCTTAGGTCTAATTTGACTCACATCAAAAAGCTCCGGCTCAAAAATGCATGTTTTCCCATGTAAGCAAATTGGTTCCTGATTGGCTCTCCCTAGCGGAAAGTCTCTTTCCGATATCTTAATATAATGGTGTTTGAAAAAAAAAAAAAGAATGATAGAGCCAGGTCTGCTCCCAGATTCGTACGGTTTTATCGCCACTACAAAAGGCAAGAACACAGTCGGCGGAGGAATCCAGGCGATGCTCCAAACACGATTAGACCTTCAAGCTTCTGAACCTTCCCTAACTCCAGTTTCTTATCCATCAATTTCATCTCTAAACTCTAAATTCCGGAACTTGCTGGATCAATTTCAGCAGAGTAGCCTATAGATTCGAAGAAATTTTTTAAAAATTGCTATATAAATATTATCAAGAGAGAGGATCTGTTTACTTGTCTAAGAGCATGACGACGCTCTTTCTCTTCACGAAGTTGTTTCGAAAAGCCTCTCCTGCTTCTACATATATTGCACCATTGAATCACAAAGACATGATCAAACCCATGAAAAAGATTTGACTTTTATTCCACAAATCGGATAAGAACAAAAGTAAATCTGAAATCATGAAGCATTAGAAAACTAACATCGGCATCGAAAGGGTTTAACTTGTAGGTTTGTTTTGCGTATTTACGAATGTGTTCGAACAATAGCAACATATCGGACTCAGCTTCCTTTTTCATAGTTTTTCAAACCTCTTCTTCCGTTCAAAACTTACATCTTCTTCTCTCTCTTAGACCATACGGCACTGGAGAAGATCAGAAAGCGGCATGACGAAACACAACGTTTTATTATAGGCCCTTTATATGTAGATTAATACTTGTAAAAACCCAGCGTCTTAACTTCATGCCGTTTCAACTATTTGTTATAAGAGAAACGGAAAACATTGTGAAGATAGGAGAGAGTGACGTGGAACAAAGGAGAATTATTACTGGCGGATAAATTTGAGCTGTATTAATTGAAATGTTTTCATTGGATGATGATTTTAATGATGTGTCAAGCTGAGAAAAGCTTAAAAAGCTGAGGTGTTAAGTGTGGAGAGATTCTTAGTGTTTTTATTGTATTGATTATTTATAACGAAAAAAATCTTAACCATAATATTATTTATAACTTTCAAAATTATATATTAATATTTACTACTATTACTTTTTAATTATTTATTTAATAATCTATCAAACGGATAGATATTTGTCATTTTCTGTAACGTTTGACTAGTATCCATTATCATCATCAACTACGATTTAAATTTTAAACACAAAACTAGATCATGGCCCGTGCTATACAACACGGGATTTAATATTTTTTTATGAATTAAATTGTATATTTTGTTCGAAAATATAAGAAATAATATAGTATAATAGTATAGTATAAAAGGGAATATATTATAATATTTTATTTTTATTACTATTTGGATATAATGTTATATATTTCATTTGACGATGGTTGTATATTTTATTTGTAGAATTAAATAATAGTATATGATAAATTTTTAATCTATATTCTATATTATATTGGGTTATTTTATTGTATGAATTAAATGTTGTTTAATCTTAACTTGGTTGAAAAACATGACTTGGTAATAAAGAAGGAGAGAATATTGTATTGTATATCAAATATATTTAGCTGCATTAGATTTGTATTTTTGTTTATATGAGATTAACAATTTATTTGGTTCAATTAGGTATTCATAATTGCATTGTGTCATTGAGAGCAAAAAAAAAAATAGTTGTATTGGGTCTAAGTTTTTACGTGGGCTATATTGGATTTTATTTGACCCAGTATCATGTTGTTTAAAAAAAAAAGAAAAAGAATATTTGATAAGAATTTTATATTTTCTTCCTTGATTACGGAATAAATCTACGAATTAACAACGTCAAGACCCAAGATAAAACGCAAATATCAATTAAAAGGAATTTTTAGCAAGTCTTTCAAATATATTTTTGTTAGCAAGTTTTAATATATTTGAAAGTAAAAATCTAAACTTACAAATCTTATCATTTTTTCGTTGTAATTTTATAGTTTTCAATCTTGAAATCTGGTTAAAGCATATATCAAAGTAGCAGCAATAGAAAATTAAAAGTATTTTACCTTGAACTTTAAAAATCACATCCCAATCAAATGTGAATTTTGCTTTTCCATTATCAAATATAATATGCACCTGCATAATGTAGAAAAAAATTTATATTAGAAAAGGATATTAACATCAATGTATATGAAATTATATATAATCTGATAATAAGAAAGCTAAACTGAAACAAATAAATTTGATTGAGCAAAATTAGAAAGAAAAAAAAATCATATAAAACTGGGAAGAAAAAAATGGATGTCTTATTCAGAGAAATGGATGATCTTATATAATGAAGAGGAGATGTCGATTTAGGGTTAAGAAATTGAAATCTTCTAGTGGAATATTCTTTTAGCTTGCAGAGCAATCTTAATAAATTGAATGATAATCTTTTGATTAAATTTTTTAATATTTACATATTCAAACTAAAATAATTAACTAAAGATAGAATATTTTTTTTATAACAAAAAGCCTTATTTAAGGAAATAAAAAGATTTGAATATGATCTCGACTTATAGAGTACTCAGAATTAAATATATTTAGAAATTTTGTATTTATTATGAAAATCTTGGAAATTTCTTTTACATTTGTAGAAAATAAATGGAAAATAGATTATGTAGCATTTATTTTTTAAAATTTTAATAAATACTAAAAAATAACAAACGAAAATATAGTTACCAAACTCGGATTAGTTAGCAATTTAGTTTTTAAATTTTAGATGTACACCACAAAATTCGTAAAATTTGAATTAAATAAATTTTAATAGCACGAATTTATATCCAAATCTAAACAAATTATAACTACCAACAATATTTTCAAAGGATTTTATGGAAACTGAATAACAGAAAATATTTGATGCGTGATTAAGGTAAATAAAAATGATCTATTTATATTTTTTGACTAGGATATGACCCGCGGTACACCGCGGGTTAAATATTTTTGTTATTTATATTTTTTTAATAAAGGAAGATAGTTGTGTATAGTTTTGGTTGTTGTTTGTGTTGATAGATTATTTTTGGTGTGTTTTAAAATCGTTTTAAATTTAGCTAAGTCTAATAGTATTTTTTCTTTTATTTATATGGTTTACATAATAATTATTTTTTAACTTTTTTAATACTAAACAGTAGAATCGTGGATTCAAATAGTTTAGTGTAGCAGCAAAATAGGGTAATTATTTTGGTTTATGTTAACAGTATTTATGTTAACAATATAATAAGTTGTATTTATGTTAAGTAGATAATAAGTTAGATATAGTAATGATTTGTATTATGAAATTGTAATCTAGTTAAGATAAACTTAAACTACAAAGCCCAATAAGTAAAATCGAAGCCCAGACATTAGAAACCCAACAGAAGCATTATTGTTTTGGTAAAACAAAAAAAAAACAAAATTGATAACACTTCAAAGGAAACGAGATCCTTCGCACCGAAGCTGGATCTCTTCGCAGCTGGATCTCTCCGCCGGATCTCTCGCCGGAATCCACTCCTCTTTGATCTCTCCGCCGGCTGTCTTCTTCTCTGTCGTGCGTGGGTTTAGGTGTTACGATTGAATTAGCTGCGACCATTGTTTGAGAGGTAAGACTCATGGGTTTGATTATTGGATTTGATTTCTCCTTTAGTCATTGAAATCTCGAAGTGGGTTTCAGGTGTTACGGATTGAAATCGCTGCAACCACTGTTTGAGAGGTATGATATATCTCTAATTCATGATTTTGTATTGAGTTTATGTGTACCAATGGAGACGAGTGTTGTGGCTTTGTTTGATTTCGTGTTTCTAATGCTTATAGGCTATTATCGTTTTTGATGTTTGATTTTGTATTGAGTTGATCTGTTTCACCATTTAAAGCTGCCATTGTTTGATGTTTGATCTGTTTCACCATTTAAAGCTGCCATTGTGTGTTTAGTTCTGTGGCTTCTTCGTTAGTGTTTAGTCTTTTTATGCACCAAACTAGCTTTAGATGAAACTTACTTTCTTTGGTTTACTGATTACTGGGATTTCAAGTAGACATGAATCTTGAGCTCTAAGCGGCTAATGCACCAACTTAACTTTAGATGAAATTGCTTGGATTTTGGCCTAACTCTGTCTCTATTGTGTCATCTCCTTAACCACAAGATTTCAAGTGAGGTTTTAACCACAAGATCATCCACTTTGTTCACTAGCTTTTTAAGTGTGTTCTGGAAATCTGAGAGTTCCTTCCTTTAATGAAACCCCTGTTATATGACTTTTTTGAGTTTGATTTGTCTGCAACGAAGCATGTAAATCCAGGAACAGCTTTGCTTCTGTTTGTGAATATCTTTCTCTCTTTTTTGTTCTATAAATTTTAGTCTGTTTTGGCCTCATTTCTTTTACTGAATAATTTGATTGAGTCAGCTAAAATTAGTCTGAATTTCTTACGCAGCTTTGCTTGTAGTGTCTGTTCGAGTTTGGTTGACTCCACCATGGTTTATGGTACATTATCATCATGTGCATGTTGCATTATCATTCAAGATAGTGTCTTGTGAACTCTAGTGTCTTTCATGTTTCTTGGGAACTCTAGTGTCTAGTTGTAAATTTGACGTTTACACAATTTGATTAAATAATCTCTTCTGGTTCAACGTAGAGAAGACTGATTGTTGTTATTAAGATTTGTTATTCTGTAATTGAATTGATAGTTGGCATCTGAATTTGTTTCCTCCGATTTTGGGATTTGATCGAAGAGTGTTGTTGTTGGATAGAGTTATTGAGAAAATGTTTACAAATAATCAAAGACAAGAAGAACGTACTGGAAAACATGGAACACCAAGACTTCAATATCTTCAGGTCTCTTCAAGAATCTTTTTTTTTTTTTTTTTTTTTTTAACCTGTGGGAATCTAAGAAGCATTATGGTTGGAGCTGAGTTTGTATTCTTTTTGAATTTGCAGGAGCTAGTGAGTCAGTTTCAAAATGCAACTGATGAAGGTATGTAGTAGATTCATTCTTCTTGTCTGAACAACATTTAGAAAGTATTGTTGCATAAGACTGGCATTGCTGATTGATTTGCAGTATGATTTTAAGGACTGTGTGTGGTGTCATCAGTTTCAAATGCTTCTATTTGGCTATAAGTTTAGCAAGCCTAACCTAATATATCTCTGGTTTGTTACTTAAATATCAGTACCATTAATACCATTACGGTCTTGCACCTGTAGAAACAAAGGAGAGAATTGTAGCAAACTTGGCGAATTTTGCGTATGACCCTTATAACTACGCTATTTTACGGCAGGTAACCTTGAGCATGCTCATGTTCTATCATTTGCCATGGAGAACACAAAATTCCCCTACTTTGTTCTTCTAATGATGTAATGTCAATGGTGTATTTGAGCAGCTAAATGTCTTGGAACTATTCGTAGACTGTATAACAGAGCCAAATGAGAAGCTTGTAGAATTTGGGATAGGAGGATTGTGCAACGCCTGTGCTGGTAAAAAACCTGGAGGATACGAATTAACTCTGATGCTAAACTATTTTTATTTTTGCCATAATTGCAATTACTGATCATCGACCAAACTTGTGCTCTTTCCTGTTATTGTGCAGAGCCAAAAAATGTTGCTACCATTGTCGAGGTTGATGGAATTTCTCTTATAATCAAATGTTTATCAAGTCCTGTACGGAACACTGTGAGTATTCGCCTCAGTAATGTTCCTCTGGTGTTTAAAATGGAATTCCTTTTATAATCAAATGTTTATCAAACCCTGTCCGGAACACTGTGACTACACGGCTTTCTCGTCTTATTAATGTTCCTCTGGTGTTTAATCGGTTTTGTTTTCTACTAGGTGAACTACGCGCTTGGGGCTTTGTATTACATGTGTGACTATAACAGAGCAACAAGAGAGGAGATTTTGAGAGCAGAAGTGGTGGATCTCATAGAGAGGTACGCAGCGGCTGAATCAGTCAGTGTAAGCTTTAGTAACTTGGCTAAGGCGTTTCTTGATAAGCATGTTCATACAAACACATGAGATTCTTGAATTTTATCTTCTCTATTTTTGGTTCTATTAAGTAGTTGGATTCAGCTTGAAAATACCATATATATATACAGTAATACGAGGGTGTAAAATTATTTAAGTGGTATAAATATTTAGATTTCGATTGGTAACACACACGTTTTAGATTCTAACTGGTAATTCGTTTTATAACCAAATTTCACCCACACTGTGTGCTTTACCTGCTAAAATGCTCAATTTCAATCCATACCAACATCAGTAGTACCAAAACAGAAAAATGTTGGACTTTCTGTTTATTCTTGGAATGGAAATATCTTCCAATAACCAAAGATTCTTGATCAGCTCGGTTAATCTCTTCTAACATTAGAGAAAATATTATTGTATTTTTCTCAACAGAATTGTGAACTAATACAAAAGAAATGTTTCATGCAAAACTCTAGGTAAAACACACTAAAAAAAGAAAAGTTTGAACTATAACAAAGCCAAACGCATCTTTTTGTTTCAAAATGGATTATGAAAAAACCTCAAAAAGTGGAATCTGGCTGAATTTTTCAAAATAAATAAACTAATCAAAAAAGTATATGAAATACTAATTACATAATTTTATATTGTCAACAAGACCAAATAAAAAACGGGAAAATTCCCAAAAAAAACCCAAAGTAATTTTAATTTGGACGTTTAATACCCAATTATTTTTGATTGGAATAAAAATACCTCAACTAATTATTTGTGGTCATAAAATACTTCGTATATAAACTATTGGTAGAATCAAACCCGCACGTTAACTGCCGTTAACGGACGTAACGGAATTAACAAACGGTGTTAAATATCAATCTCAAATATGTTAATTGATATATACAATCGTTTAACATGGATATGAGAATAAGTTGTTGTGGTCTAGTGGTAAACGGTCAGTGGCAAAACTTGGGTTCGAGCTGTCCTCATGGCTATTTTTGTCTTCTTTTTTTTTTTTGTTTTTTTTCTTTTCTTCTTCTTCTCTTCTTCGCCTTCCTCAGATCTGAAAATTGAGAATTCAAATGAGTGGATAGCTACAATTGGAGGTTGATTTCGGGGCTGGGGATCCTTAATTATCCTCCTCTGCGATTAGGAATGAGAGGTTTAGGGTTTGTAAAGGCTTGGTGAGTGAAATGATGCTTGGAGATACGAGGGCTATGGTTGATGGTGTGGGTGTACCGATTTGTTACACGATTTGGGAGAGGAATTGGAGGTTCTTGTTCATGGATTAGATGAAGTATTATTTCTGGGACGGTGGTGGTCAACGACGGGGAAGAAAAAAAAACACAGAGATCGGCAAAGGAGAAGAAGAGAAAAAAAAAAAAAAAAAATTTGACTCTACTAGAATCGAACCCAGGTCACGCTCATCGAGTGAGCCGCACTATTCCACTGGACCACCTTAAAATGTACGTAAAATACAAGAGCAGATTATATATATAGATTAAGTTATATGAGATTAATATTTAACGCTGTTAATTAATTCCGTTATGTCCGTTAACGGCTGTTAACGTGCGGGTTTGATTCTACCAATAGTTTATATACGAAGTATTTTATGACCCCAAATAATTAGTTGAGGTATTTTTATTCCAATCAAAAATAATTGGGTATTAAACGTCCAAATTAAAATTACTTTGGGTTTTTTTTGGGAATTTTCCCAATAAAAAACAAATCATATATATGAAAGGAGGTGAACTCTCTCCATCCTTCTGACACCTCATCACTTGAGGAGAGGACACATGTATTTTTTAAAAAAATCATTAATAGCACATTAAAGAATTCAAAAACTCGGCAAAATCTAACCGAAGGTTAAAGTCTAAAAACGTTAAGTTATAGTAGTAAATTTTGGTTTTTAATAACTATTTATCTCTCTATAATCAATTTCTTTATAGGTTTAAGACTCTCGGCAAACTGTTGAACTTCTCTCCCCTATCTCTTTAAAGCATGGAATCGTGACACTCGCCTCTCCTTCCTATCATTAGCTTTGGAATCGATATTCTTCCTCCAGATTCAAAACAAGTGGAACCCTAATCGTCATCTCTCAGGATATATCAACCCTAGCCACGTCCTCTTCCATCTCCTTATTCTATTGTTTGATCATTTGTCGCAGTTTGACGTCTCTCTTTCTGTTTGAGTGTTTTTAGCATGTTCTCAATTTCATGGTATAATCGGGAATCTCACGGTCACATCTCACATATTTTCTGTAAATTATTTTACTCCGTCATACTTAAACCTAATATAAAGCGTTTTGACAAACAAAACCCCAATAAACATCTCCCTTCTCAAGCAGAGAAGCTAACAAATTGGTTGATTAAACCATAGAGTACTGCTGTACTGACGTTCTTATTTCATTCGATGGCAGGGGATTCTTTCAGATGATGTTCATGGTGATTCTTCTTATAATTTTGTTTGGGTCAGACGGAATACAATGATAAGTGTCTCCCAAGATGTTCTGCGAGTGTTTTTTTTTTCTCACCGTATCCTTAGTCCGAATTTTTCAAACTTAAGATCCATCGAATTTTAATCTTGAATATGTATGGTTTTGAGTGGAATGATTAAGATCGAATACTGTTTTATTCCTACATTCATGGATTGTAGGTTTATTTATTGATTTTTAAGTGTGCCCTTATTTAGAAACGTTGGAAGCGTCCACTCTTTTATGTCAAGGTTTACATAATATTCTGGAAAACGATTATCTTTGAATGTTTTCTATTCATTCTCATGAATTCACAGTTAATGTTAGTTCAGACGCTAATATTCGTGTGCCTATTGGTCTTAACAGGTTATGCAACTCCTAGAATAAAAGGTAGAAGACCTTGAAATGCTAGAGCTGACCAGTTTAACAAATTACATAAGCATTGATGGTGATGGCCCCAAACAGAGGCATTTCTGATATTCCACCTAATTAAAGATTTGTATGTATGTTTAGTTTCTCTGCCTCTTTTAAAATTTTTTGCTTATAAGATCCTCTTGGAAATCAATGTTTATTTTATATATGCTTTTTTCTTGTTGTTGTTGACATCAATATTTTATCAGATCGCTTATACTAATTTTTAGTCTTTGTACGTGGTGATGGAGAACCTACCATTATTGGTTCAAAAGGGGAACTTTGGCTCCCATGGGGATTGCAATAGAGGCAACATTCAAAAAGAAATTTGGATGCATGGGTAAATTGGTGTGTGGTGTGGTTATAAAGTGGGAGATTGATGTATGTTCTGCTTACCATCAGTCTCACATGATTTCAGGTGTAAAATCAGAATTAGCCCTAACCCTTTGAGTTCAGACTTTCTAAGAAAAAACAGCATATTGCATGAAACATGAAAGCTTATTGTGGAGAGAGATGGTTTTGGTTTCTCGCTTTTGGTTTCTTATAGTCATGTTAATCTTTGTTAGTCTATCTTTGAGGTATTCTTCTCATTGGCTTCAAAATAAAATCATACCTTCAACTGTCTACATTTTTACAATGTTCTATGCTATTATATATTCGATAGCGAGATACAATAGTTTGTTGGTGGAACAGCTCCACGGTGACCGTCGACCATCTTTTGCTCCGGCTTCACACGTGTTTCCTGCTTCTTTCTCCTCTTACCTCGTGCTTCTGCAGTGGTTTTCTTGGGCTAGGCTGGGGTTCGCTTCTTTTCTATTCAATTGTGCCTATTGGCTTTGTCATGTTGCTTGTTGAAAATTTTAAAAACAGTCATAGATTAAAATGCCGAAAAACGAAAATCCTATCATCTCTTCTTGCATGTTGAGCTCCCACTAACTCCCATGTTTATGGCTAGCTTTTAGTTTTTCTCCACTAAAATAGAATCATTTTGGCTCTTTCAAATTCACTCCCATAACTTCAATATTAAACACTCGAAATTCCATTTGAAGTTAGTACTTATTTAATAGATTAAAGTGGGTACTATATAAAACTCCCAAAAAATCATAACTATAACTTATAGGGTACAAATAACATTTTTTTACTCATGCGATGTGTTGATCTTCGTTCTGTTTTAAGGCTATTAGGTTTCTACAATTTTGAGCCCGGTACATATGAGTTCAGAGTACTTGATGTAGCCATTTGTTGCATCGTATTTTGGTAAACATGCGACTACCAACAAAACCAATGTTTTGTAATATGAGGTACATGTTACATGATTATAGCATCTCTGTCTTTACTCTTTATTTATTTTTTAGCGGTGTAAAAAATTATTCTCTCAACCATAGACTGGCCCATTTTCAAAACAATCTATGCTACTTTGATTTTGAGAACTGCAAAATCGATCAAACGAATTCGAAAATATTTGGTATTAGTCTATTTTAGTTTTTAGTTTTTTTTTGTTAAAAAATATTTTTAGTTTTAGTTTTAAGGTGCTTTCAGTGGAGTATCTCTCCCCCTCTTTATGTATGGTATATACACAATTATATGTATATAGAGTTTTTTTTGTAATGGATTTGTCTTTGTTGGTGCAGAAATCTTCTCATGGAGAATATAAGAGCTTTGAATTTAAATAAGCTCATGATTTTGTCAAGGAATGCAAGTATGACAATCTGGTATACCGGGAGCATATGATTGTTTAGGCATAACCATGCAACGGTTACATCCCAAGCTAGATGTTGTGAGAGTTATGTGATTGATTAATTCTATCGCTCACGAGAAATTTTTTTTTTCTGTGGACATAAGTGACTATAATAGTCATGAGGATCGTACGGTCTCTTCTACAAACTTTTGCTCTATTTTAAGAATTGAAATGTGTTTTAAAAGTTTTAACATTGGGACCATTACAAGATCTTTCTGCTTCATTTTCAAAGTACAACACATGAGACAGGTAATGAGAAATATTTTGGTTACAATGTGATCTCTCCACCAAAATCTCCTCCATGATGACAAATTGACAATAAATTTTAGTTTATAGTTTCACTTGCAAAAAATGTTTAGTTGACATCTTGAGTCAAGATGAATATAATTTTACAACTACATAAGATGTATCTAACTTTATATTAAAAAACATAAAAATAAAAAATAACTAACAACAAAAAGTATCAACGGAAATTTTTAACAATTTTTAAAACAAAAGCCCACGCGTAGCGTGGGTACTCACCTAGTGAAAATATGAAACTTGAAATTTTATATATTTTAATAGTTTTGTTAAACATGAAATAATAACTTAATTTGGAAAAAAGTTCTAATTTTAAAATATTAAGAATGTAATACATTTAATATTTTTATCAAATATAATTATTATATAAAAGCATAAGCTAATAAAATAAATTTGTTCGAAATAGAATTTCATCATTGGATTACTCCACCAAGCCACGCCTGCGTCTGTTGCTGCAACGGTGGCTCATGGTTAAGCCATAGAAGTCTACGAGTTCTCTATGTTACGAGCATGCTCTGTTTTTTTTATTCACTTCCTATGCTCTGTTTTTGTAGTCTCCTTCTTTCAAACATTGTAAATATTTTCCCATTTTGAAATATAAATTACACATTTCAACAAAAAATAAAATAAAATAAACTTGTAATTTTTTACTTTTTTATAATAAAAATTAAACTATTTTATTTTTTTAGTTTATAAATTTTCTTAGTAACAGCTTCTAGTAGAAACTAGTATTAAAAAAACTAGTAGATAATGTATGTTTGAATAATTTTTACACTTACATCGTTAACATTACATATAAGAATTACCAACTTTAAGAGACAGACGGAAGCTATTTAGTAGATTCTATATTTTATTGATGTTAATACTGACGAAGCGATTTATAAGACCAAATTCTGCTCCCAAGGATAATTTAACTTCACGAAGAATCTCAACATGAAAAAACAAAACCTAAAATTGCAATGCGAAACACTTTGAATACGTTCTTCTGCGGAAATTAACTAGAAGCATTCATATTAAACTTTGCAATGTCAGTTTGACAAAGAAAAAAAAAATTATAATGTCATTCTAACGAATATCCAAACCATGTATCAAAATATGAAGCTATATGTACTTTGCATCAATTAATATAACTGAATATGCTTCCATTCAACGACATTGAATCGACAATTTCGTTCAATATAGTTCTTTAATATTTTGGCGTTGATGCTAAAATGCCTCCCTTTTTTTTTTGAACCACCAGATTTCTAATATGGTAATATTCAGAAACTTTGACTATTATTATATATCATATGTAGAAACTTTGAACATTTTGCATGTATCACGCATAAACTTTGACTATTTTTAAGGCTAATTAGCTAAAAATCCCCTCTTCTAGTATAAAATTAAAAACATTTCTTTTTAACTAATTAGCCTTAAAACTAGTCAAAGTTTCTGCATATTACATAATAAAAGTCTAATATTTATAGAAAGTGTGAATTTATGAAGTCAATTAAGTATATAATAAAGTTTCTTAATTCTTTCGTACGTTCTTATCTAGTTTACAAAATTCTTATATATATATATATATATATAGAGCAATTTATTCACACCAAACAAAAGTCTATTCGTTCTTAATATCTCAAACATTATGACGAAACTTATCATTCACTTCGTATTTGTTCTTATTGTTTTATCTTGTACGAATATACACACCATACCTTTGAATTCGAGATATTGTGTTTTTTTTTGCAACATTACTTATTATTTAAATCTTTTGCATACAGATTTTTCATCAGAATCTGAAGCGCTAGGAAAAGTACAGCCGGAACCATATCTTTGTCATTGCCCTGGTGACAGAGATCCTGAATGTGGTTGTCTTCCTCCCATAGATCATCAAGTTCATACTACGTCAACGATTGGTCCTAATGCTAACAATAAAAGGTTAACGGGTTGCAAGCCCGATGATTGTATTTGATATGTTAGTTGACACAACCTCGGTAAAATTGTGAAAAGATAAATGTCGAGCAATAAATATTTTAAAATAAAAGAAAATAATGATTATTTTCATTATAATTAGTTTAGCCTTCTTATATTTCAATTATTCGATGGAGTGGTGTGCGTTTGAATTTTATGCAAAAACAAAACAAAAAACAAAAAGAATGAAATAATATGTCTAAATAGTCACAGTTGAATCCAACCGAATAAATCTATTGGTATATGTTTGAATAGTTTATAATTTAAATGGTAATATTTGAATTTGGCTAAATTTTTGGAAAGGTAATTAATTATAAGTCTTGTAAAAAATAGTTAAGTAAATAAAATCAACAAGATTATTAAATTAAATTAGTAAAAATATTTTTCAATTTGATATTTTAATAATCTTATTAAAATATGATAACAACAAAATACGGCAAAATTGTTTTTTGCAACTCGTAAAAAAATTAAGGGTCAATTTCGAAAGAATTTTAAATTTAATTATTCTTACACATCTAACACTTAAACAACATGACTTTACTCAATTTAAAAAGAATAATTAAATTTAAAATCCTTTCGAAATTCACCCTTAATTTTTTACGAGTTGCAAAAATTTTTTTTGCCATATTTTGTTGTTATCATATTTTAATAAGATTATTAAAATATCAAATTGAAAAATACTTAATTTAAGTTTAAGTATTAAATTTAATACTTACACATCTAACACTTAAACAACATGACTTTACTCTTTAGTGTACCAGTTTTTGTTATTTGAGATGTTAATTTTGTGATGTAATATAAACCATCGCCTTATAAAAAAACTTAGCTTACTTTATTTTTATTGTTTCCACCAATTTTGTGTTAAAATCATTTGATTCAATTGATGAAATCTCAAACTTATTTTTCTGTTTGATTATGTTACAGAGTGGTAGTTTCACTTGAGAATAGACTTTGCTTCAAGATATGCTACACAAATTATAGATCAGTTCTTATAATGGCTTCCATATCATTTTCATATATTTTGTTGTAGAACTCACGAATAATATGATCATTGATTTTTCTTTCTTTTTTTAGAAGATGAATTATAATATTTAAGACTTTTAAGATCTTTGTTTTTATAATTTCACAAAAAAATGTGACATTTACAATTTCTTCTTCTTTAAATTTTAAATTGAGTTTAGTAATTTTTTTATTTGTTCTTAACTGAAAATGTAATAATAAATAAAGATCTCTGTAGTATATTGTTTTTAAAAACTAATGTGTAACTTTAAATTTTATTTTTCCGATTTAAAATTTTATAAAATAGAGTTATATAAGTTTTTTACTATACCATGCATGTAATCTTACTTCTATTCTAAAACTCATTACTAGTTTGAAATTTTGAAATATGATCACTTTTAAGTTGTTTTGTTTATGTTGAAAGTTGAATTATAATAGTATTACTAATACAATTTTCATAGTATTTTTTTACGATTTCAAAATTTTATTTATTTTACTTAATTCGTATTTATTTAATTAAACTTGTATAATTATATAGTAATATATGTATGCACTAAATAAATATTTTAAATATACTTTAATGTAAAAATAATTGTTTTTTGTTTTTTTGAAATAAATGTTAAATTATATTCAAAAGAAAAAAATGTACGTTGTTACAACTAGTGCATCGGGAGTTTGAGGAAACTTAAAAACTGAAATTGTGTTTGAGATTGCTAAGACTTATGTTCGGCTTTGTAGCCAAGCTTGAAAAACATGCTTCGTATCGACGGTCCTGAAGTTTTCGAATGGTTGCGATCTGGTTTCGAACTTGAGCATCGATCCAATTTGTTAGCTGAGCTGCACTGTTCGGCGCTTCCCCGTGTCTCCGGCCATTCCGCTCCCTCCAAATGGTGTAGATGGTGGCTTGGAAAACGTATTTTGTCAAGAAACTCTCAACCCGGCATTGATGGTGGATGCTTAGGTGGATGCTTAGGTGGAATATGATCACTTTTAATTTTTTGTTGTTTCTGTTGAAAATTGAATTATACTATTATACATTGAATGAGCCTCGAGGAAGCCATGGAATGGGAATTTGTGTTTGATAACATTGATTATATTGTCAAACTTGTCAAAGAGGCAGTTGAGAAGATGCAGGACCAGAGCTTGGTCTGACACTGGAGAGTCGAGATTAGCAAGGAAATCAGAGATTGTTTTGAGCTTTTGACAGTAGGCGTGAACGGTGAGATCGCCAATCATGGTAGTGCGAAGCTCGTTTTCAAGTTCCAGAGCACGGGCCCTCCTTGTTGTCGCGGAAGAGATTTTCAACTTAGAGCCATAAGTCACGAGCCGAGGCTTTGGTCTTGAGGACCGTGTCAAGGATAAATTCATATATGGTACCGTCATGAGGTGTGGAGGAGTCTCCTCTCTCCCCGCGAGAAACCTCTCCCCCTCGATTCTGAGAGCTGGCTAGAAGTAACTACGGCTTCCTCCTTCTTAGATCTGGTCTCCAGAATCTCTGAACCATCTCACTAGTGGCTACTAGTGAAGAAATTTCACACCTTTTGGTGCAGAACCTTTGTTTCGTTTCCCACAATCTCCATTTTACGCAAGATCTTGAACCTCTCTCCAATGTCTCGAAAGTTTACTTATGCTGAGAAAGGAAAGAGGGTGGCTTCATCTGAGGCTCCTCCCCGTTCTGAGCTCCTCCCCGCATCCCGCGAGTCCGAGTTTCCTGCTTTCGACGATTCTGAGCTGCGCCGTAAACACTCGCTCACAATCATTGGTCGGCTTACAAACCCTGCTGCTCAGCGCCTGTGGTCTATGATTCCCTGCTTGGCGGACCTTTGGAAGACCTCCTCCCGTCCCATTGGAGCTGATTTAGGTCAAGGAAGGTTTCAGTTTCAGTTCGCAAATGAACAAGATCTTCTTAAAGTGCTGGAGAATCAACCCTACCACTACGCGAAATGGATGGTTATCCTTCAACGTTGGGAGCCTACAACTTCGGCGTCCTTTCCTTCCCAAATTCCCTTTTGGATTGATGTCCAGGGAATCCCGGTCCATCTTTGGTCACAAGAAACCCTCTCCAGTGTCGCAAAAGGTGTCGGCCATTTCGAGAGAGCGGAGATTACGACTACTTATGCCAGAATAAGAGTGATGGTGAATGGTCTCCAACCCCTTATCAAGCAAACCTTTGTGGACTTTGCTGATGGGGAAGAAGCGCTAGCGGACCTAGTTTATGACAAACTGGAGAAGCACTGCAAGAAGTGCAATATGCTAGACATGAAGACAAAGACTGTCCTATGATTTAGGACTTCCAGAGCTCGAAGAGATCCCCCTCCTCCCAGTCCTCCACCAAAGAAACCTCATAGAGAAGCTGAGGACTCTAAGAAACGATCTCAGGATCGACCTCATGATGTTCCGCAGCATAGAACACCGCATCACTCTGGGACCAAGAGGACTCGCAGTCCTGAACCATAGGAGAGATTATGGCAACAGGAGTAGAGACTCACACTGGTCTAAAGACAGAGACGGGTATACCAGTAGAAGATATGGAGAGAACAAAAGTCTTTCCCCTCAAAGGTCTTATAGCTACCAACCTTCAGGCCACCACTCCCATAGCCTTCCAGCTTTTGAAGAGAGAAGAAAAACAAGATCTCCTTATAAGTTTGAGGAGAGCAGAAGAAGTTACCCAAGAGTGGCTAATGCCGTTCCCATTCAGATTCCAGGGTCATCTCTTCTACTTCAAAGAACGGCGCACCCGGGACCTTGCCTTCCGGCTCGTGAGGCATCCACTGAAATTCCCCAAGCAGCTCTGAATGTAGCAATGGGTGAATTGAGAGATGTGATGATCAAGTATGTAAACTGTGCAGACCCAACGAAAGCGCAGCGGAGAGAGAAAGATATCGACAAGCAGAAGAATCTTGGCCAATTCGAGGAACAGCTGAACAGATGGAAGAGCCAGGTTTGCAGATTCCTTCTGAAAGACTTCCATGAGTCACCTACTACTCTGTCTGTGCTCACATTAGAGAATCCTGCGACTCTCCGCCTTGGACCTCCTGAACTTCCTCAAAGGTTGGTTAAATCAAAGAAGAGGGTCACTGGCAAGAAGAAGCTAGGTCGACCTCCAGGGAATGAAGAATGTTCTCCCAAAGAATCCAAAAATCCCCTTAGTGGACGGGTATGATCGGGGAATAAGTAACAGGAGAAAGAACCCTCCATCCTGTTTCCATCAACCCGCAAGGACGGTTAAATATGGATTCCTACTTGGAGGGAGCTGAAGAAGATGCTACTTTGAATGCAGGACCAAGCTCTGGACCTCTTCATGTTCCTACTGAGGCTAGAGCCAGAGCTTCTCCCCCTTCCCTTCCCCACGACTTTCTGGTAATTCAAAAGGCTCGTCGGATTTTCGGGTCGGGCAAAACCACCTGCCGTAAAAGTGGTTTGCTGGAACTGTCAAGGAATGAGGAATCCTATGACAGTCCAGCGTTTTAGGGAAATTCATAAGAAAATTTCCCCCGACATCTTCTTCCTCATGGAAACAAAGAATGAAGATTCATATGTATTGAAGACTCTGGACTGGATGCATTATGATCACAGCGCATTAGTCTCTCCTCAGGGACATGGAGGAGGTGGCCTTGCACTTTTCTGGAAGCAAAACATTCAGATGGAAATCTTGTCTGCTTGTGCAAACTACTTTGACACCAAGATAACAGTCAACAACTCCTCCTTCTTTGCTACTTTCCTTTATGGAGAACCGGACCAAACTAAAAGAGGTACCATCTGGAACACTTTGAAAGAGCTGGCCCTGGTCAGAGAAGCAGCTTGGTTTTCTCTGGGGATTTCAACGAGATTCTAGACAATTCTGAGAAGACTGGTGGACAGGTAAGAGCTGAAGGCTCCTTCGTTGACTTTAGATCCTTTGTCTCTGAATGCGACCTTTTTGACCTCAAGCATGCTGGGGAAGCTCTATCTTGGAGAGGAGTTCGACACTCTCATATCGTTAGGTGTCGGCTGGATAGAGCAATGGCGAATTCCTTATGGTCTGAACTTTTTCCTTCGGGTAGATCTGAGTACCTGCGGTTCGAAGGGTCAGATCATAGACCTATTGTAACTTACTTCGCTGAGAACAAGAAGAAGAGAAGAAGTATGTTCAGGTATGATAGAAGACTAAAGGGTAATGAGGAAGTTAAACAACTTGTTGAGGAGTGTTGGACAAGGGACTCCCATCTCACAGTTGGTCAAAGAATTGTAAACTGTCGGCGTGCAATTGTAATCTGGAGTAAGGAGAAGTTTAGAAACTCTCAGATTGAAATAGAGAAGAAGAAGCAAGAACTAGAACAGGCAATGGTAAGTCCTGTGCTGGATGAAGCACGACTGTTAAAAATCAACTCTGAGCTTAATGAAGCTTACAGACTGGAAGAAATCTTCTGGAAGCAGAGAAGTCGGAATCTATGGCTCAGCCTAGGGGACAGAAACACCGGGTATTTCCATGCAGTCACAAAGAAGAGGAAGGCGCTTAATCTCATCTCTGTAATTGAGAATGATGAAGGGGAAGCAGTTTTTGAGGAAAAGCAGATTGTGAGAGTTATCTCGGATTATTTCTGCAAGCTTTTCACCTCTTTAGGATGCAATCAGGCTGACTCTAAGATAATCGTGGAGGAGGCTCTAAGTCACCGCATCTCTTTAGAGGATAATGAAAACTGATTTCTCTGCCTTCAGCTCTAGAGATTCAGGAAGCTGCCTTTGATATCCACCCCGATAAAGCTCCTGACCGGATGGGTTCTCAGCTATTCTTCCAATCAAACTGGATAACTGTTGGGCAAGCAATTATTCAGGAAATCCAGGGCTTCTTCTTGTCGGGAGTCATGCCTGCTTCTTTAAATGAAACTCACATTAGGCTTATCCCAAAGGTTCTTGGACCTAGAAAGGTGTCGGATTATCGACCTATTGCCCTGTGCAATGTTTACTATAAGATTATCTCCAAGATAATGACAAAGAGATTGCAGCCGGTCCTTTCTTCTCTGGTGTCAGAAAACCAGTCCGCTTTTGTCCCGGGTAGAGCTATATCCGATAACGTACTCATTACGCATGAGGTTTTGCACTACCTGAAGAAGTCCGTAGCTAAAAAGAATTGCAATATGGCGGTCAAAACGGATATGTCCAAGGCATATGACAGACTGGAATGGAGTTTCATCGAGAATGTTTTTCAAAGGCTTGGCTTCCATGAGAAATGGACCAATTGGATTATGCAATGCGTCTCAACTGTCTCCTACTCCTTCCTCATCAACGATACTCCCTTAGGAAAGGTCATTCCTACTAGAGGTATTAGGCAAGGAGATCCCCTCTCTCCCTACCTATTTATCCTTTGTAGTGAGGTGCTTTCCGGTTTGTGTTCAAGAGCACAAGAGTCAGGAGACCTGCAGGGGATTAGAGTGTCTCTAAGAAGTCCCAGAATTAATCACCTTCTATTCGCGGACGACACAATGTTCTTCTGCAAGTCAAGTGAGAAAGCCTGCACTGCCCTAAAATCGATTCTAACCAGATATGAGATGGCTTCTCGTCAATCTATCAATGGGCAAAAATCGTCAATCACTTTCTCAAAAAAGACACCTGGAGCCAAAAGAAGCCGAGTCAAAGAAAGCCTGCAGATTCTGAAAGAAGGTGGAGTAGGGAAGTATTTGGGCCTCCCTGAACTCTTTGGGAGGAAAAAGAGGGATCTATTTTCATCCATTGTGGATAGAATAAGACAAAAAGCCTTAGGCTGGTCGAATAGATTCCTCTCGGGAGCTGGTAAACTGGTCATGCTAAAAGGAGTACTAGCTACTCTACCTACTTATGCTATGTCATGTTTTCAGCTTCCTCTTTCTCTCTGCAAAAGAATCCAATCAACGTTGACAAGATTCTGGTGGGACTCACCTTCGCAAGAGAGGAAAATGTGTTGGGTGGCTTGGGAAAAGTTAACTAAGGCCAAAAGCTCAGGTGGCCTGGGATTTAGGGATCTACAGCAGTTTAACGTAGCCCTGCTCGCAAAACTCAGCTGGCGGATCCTCAATAATCCACTGGGACTGCTGGCCAGAATTCTTCTTGGTAAATACTGCAGCTCCAATCCTTTTATGCAAGTCAAATGCTCTAAAACAGCCTCCCATGGGTGGAGAAGCATCCTTTGTGGTAGAGATCTGCTATCCAATAACTTTGGGTGGGCAGTTGGCAATGGTGAACTTGCTAAAGTGTGGCAGGATGCTTGGATCCCTGCTGATGGCCTCAAGCAACCTTTTGGACCAGCCACTAAAGAGTCTCAAAACCTTTTGGTTAAAGACCTCTTCTTAGCAAACTCTGTCAATTGGAATGAAGAACTGGTCTCCGAGCTGCTTCCTGAGTGGAAGGATGCTATCCTGACCATGAAACCAAGCCGCCTAAATGCAGCTGATAAGCGAAGTTGGTCCTTCACTTCTAATGGCGAGTATTCGACGAAATCAGGATACTTTGTAGCAAGATCCAAAGAAGACTTGAGGTGGGAATCCTCCCTTGAATCAAACTTCAACTGGCACAAGGATGTGTGGAGCTTACATACAGCCCAGAAGATAAAGCTTTTCCTGTGGAAAGCTGTTCAAGGAGCTTTACCTACTGGCAGCCAACTGGCTAGTCGAGGCATTGTGGCAAATACTTCCTGTTGTAGATGTGGAGAACTTGAAACAGTTGATCACCTCCTTTTCAAGTGTTCTTTCGCAAAACAGGTTTGGGCTCTTGCTCCTTTGATTAACTCTGATGCTGTAAGCAGAGAAGCAGGTGTAAAAGATGGCGTGGCAAATGGAAATAGACTCATTTGTCTCCCCCCAACGGGACTTACTTCAGCCCCGCTCTGCCCCTGGATCTGCTGGAACTTATGGATCTCAAGAAATCAAAAGATTTTCAACAACAGGAACTTCTCTGAAGCTGAAACCCTTCTCAAGGCAATCAAGGAAGCTGTGGAATGGCAAAATGTGCAAATTGACCTGAAGACTGTCCCTTATGTCAAAAAACCAGCCTCCCGTATCTCTGTTCCACTTGCAGGTAATCTCACAATTACAACTTGTAGAACTGATGCTGCTTGGAGGAAAGATCTCAAGGCGGCGGGGCTGGGCTGGACCTTCTCTTCAACAAACCAGGTGGATTCAAGGAAATACTCTGCATCTTGCAGCTCTGTTTCTTCCCCTCTGATGGCAGAAGCGCTGGCAATGCGTGCTGCGTTATCTAATGCAAAGGATTTATTCATCCAGCATATCAAACTCGAGTCGGACTGCAAAGTTCTAATCCATGCGATTAACTCTCAGTCTAACCTCACGGAGATCCATGGCGTGCTCCGATATCTATCTTCTTTCTTTATCTTTTTCAAGCTTTGTCTGTTCTTTTATT